AATCCCAGCATCTATAAAATGAATTTAAGAGTAGGTTCTATCTCAAGAAGACAGTAAACTTAGAATGAAAGTTTTGAAAATAAATAAAACAAGGCTTGTGAGGTAGGTCTAATCTGGTCAACATTTTCATGTTACATTTCAGTACTCAGCATATGAACTTAATATGCTTTCAGGTAAACTTTTTTGACTTTACATATATCTCATCATTTAGAGAGCTCAACTAAGAAAACCTGAGCCTCCCATAATGATTATAAAGTGAAATAAAGCCACTTTAGAGCAACCCGGATTCTAAGGAGGACCTCAGCTGAGATTAAGTTAGGATTCTAGAAATAGGGATAAAACACTATGTTGTATAGGACTTTCCAATTGTCTGATGTAGAAATCAATATGCTGGAATAGGAATGTAGTCCCAGTGCACTATATTCAAATAATTTAAGGGAACTTTAGTAATTTTTTTTTGCCAAACATAGTGCTGCTTAATGGCTTACTCCTGGCTTTGCATTCAGAGATCACTCTTAGTGGTGTCTGGGGGACCATCTGTAGTACTGGGATGGAACCTGGGTTGGCTATATGCAAGGTGAGCACCTTACCTGCTTGTTGTACTATCTAACCCAATTATTACATTTTTATAAGGACCACCCCCAGCAGTGCTTGAACCACTCCTCATAATGCTTTGGCAGTACTTGGGAACCACCAGAGGCACATCTGGTGGTGCCTGTGCAGTATGCCCTTAGAGGAACATGCCAGTCATATGCTCTACTATGTAAGCTGCCTCTCTGGCCCTGTTGGGGGAATCATTTATAAAATGCAGAATCTGATCCAATCAGTCTGGAGTGGAAGCCAAGTTTTTGCATATGAATAATGTGTATAGTGCAAAATCTGCATACTTTTTGAATTCTAAAAATCAATGATAAACAGACTGAGGTTGTTTATAAAAGTTCAGGTGTACAGAAAACAAGAGTCCTATTTTGAAAAATTATTTATTTACATTTTTAAGCCAATATTAAAATCTAGGACAGAATGGCTAAGATGAAACATATTAAGTTGTTCATATACACAACATATAGACAACAATCTTTACATGAACAGAATCCTATAGATGGCTTCATGACAGGTTTTCCTTCATTAAAACTAATGTTCCCTTAGAATCAGGCTTTGATGACATCTTCCCATAAGCATAGATTTAACTTATCACTCAAAAATCTAAGAAACAAAATGCTAGCCTGGATTTATTATTAAACAGATAGCCATATGCATAAACTTGATACTACTTATGCCTATAATTGCATATATCTCATTATTTAAACAGTGCTGAAGATGTTCAAATAGATCCAAACATGATATGATGAATAAATCTTAATAGGAATGCTTTGGTTATTAAATTTTTATTTGTTTTTTGGCATTACTTATTTAATTATATCATTCCAATGAGTTATTATAAATAATCCATTCAAAACAAGACTTGTTTAATGTTATTACAAAGTACTTGGCCTTGCTTTGGTTGGAAATACCTTTAATATGTTGACAATAGCAACACATTCCTCTTTCCTTCACTTGGGAAAGAAATCACAAAAATTAAAAATTCATCCCCATATGTTCAATTCCACCATAAAGCCTTATTCATTCTTTTTTTAAAAAAAGTCATCATGATAATAGCTGCCTGTGTATTGATTGGTACATTCTTGAAACACTAGATCTATAAGAATTCCTCTTTCACCATGCAAGTCTCTGTCTTTGTGATACATTTCTGTAAAATATATTAAAATTAAATTTACAGGTAATGTATTTGAAACTTTTGGAAAAATTAACATTTAAAATAGTTCTTAAAATCTGGATTTATTAAATTTTAGAAAAATAAATAAAATATTGTGGTTTGTCTCACTGTCATCCCCTTCTATTTTTTCTCACCTTGTAAGTCTGAACTTAAGAATTTAGGCTTCCAAAAAGCAGAAGAAAGTAAAATAAAAGTAATGTAGATTTTACCATTTATAGTTTTTAAATTTTTCTTATTCATAGTTTTTTTAGTGTAACATATTTATATCACAAAGGCAAACTTGATTTTTTTGCCTGAAATGAAGATCCCATCTTCTAAGAATTAATTTAAATAACTGTTCTTAAGTAATCAAAAGAAAGTTTAAGAGCAATTTTAATAAACACATCTAAATGCCAATAAATACAAAACTTTTGATTTTCAAAAAGTGCTGCTATAAAGTCTGAAAGCAAAATCTAAATATTTTATTTGAGCTGTTTAAATTTACTCTCTTTAAAATGTTTCTCAAACCTATAAGCTGTATTATAAATTGACATGTAAGTTTACAATCTAAACTACAAAAATAAATTGCTGCACAAATATATAGATATCTTAAATCTGAAATTTTCCTATATTGTTTCTTATTTCCAACCTTGTAAGTATAATAAAGCAAGAAATTAAGCACCTGAAATTTAATTTGAGCAGTGTTTCAATTTTAAATAAAGGAAGTCTAAATGTAGTCTAAAACTTTCCAGTCATATTTACATTCATTGTACAACATCTTATATGGACTTAAATACAAACACAAGAAGTAAGCAAAATAACCTATACTTTGTATGACGTAAAAAATTAAAAATACAAAACACGATCACATGCAAAGTCAGCTATTTGAGGCATATGCCTGGTATTCGGTTCTGATGGCAATAACTTTGAGTAACTTGAGGCAATACTTGAGTAGCTTGAAGCGTATCACGAAAGTATACCAGAGATGCTTAGCTTATTTTTAACCATAGTGTAGGCCTATCTACAGTTTTAAGTGAAAGATTCTCAACTAATGCCAATGTCATATGAATAGCTGGGTTTGATAGGAATATTTGCACTGGAGGATAAGGACTAGAGAAAAGAGCGAAAGGGAAAGATTAAAATGATTTTTTTTAACTGGGGGGAAACTAGGGGTATAAAACTGTCCAACAATAAAAGTTCCAGATCATGAACTTTCCCTCCCACAAGTAACATGCATTTGAAAGATTTTTATATTGAGGGTTCCTATGTTGGCCAGTGGGACAAACAGGATGTCCCGAGGAACACTAAATGAACACTAAATTGATGAAATTACTATGTTGAGACTTGACTTTCTGACATTATATGACTTAGATAGTCAGCACCATCCTTTGTTTCCCCAAATCAGCATTTGATTTTGTTGTTCTAATTCCTGTAAATTCATAGGCTTAGATTTCTTGGAAATATTTTTTGATCAGAAAAAAATTACCATTTTCTGACCTAATTACTTTCCCTTGAAACAAACAGGTTGATTGATGTACTTCATTATCATCCTGCACCGAGTAAGCAAGCCCTCCACCAGTTGCTGACGGAAGGAGACTACAAACAGAATATTCATTCATTCCAAGAATGAATGGAAAGAATGAATATTCTTGTAATGAAACAACCTACTTAATCTAAGATGTTTAACTGTCCTGTAAAGTACTGATCTTCAAATTGAATGGAGAATTCTATTTTGCTCTCTTTTACTACTGCAGATGGCATGCTAATATTTATCACAATAATAAATTCCTATGATTAATCTGAGGTATAGAAGAAAAAGGGTAGAAAATTTGACCTACAGTAAACAAAGCTTTTCCATAAGTTAGTAGAGGTTTTTAACTCTTAAATCAAGGCCCCCTTTTTCAGAAGATAAAATGTAATAAAAATATAAAAATAAAAATTCCATAATAACTGTAAATATAAGACAAATAAATAAGGTCACATGGTTTATACATTTTAAACTGTTAAAGAGGCCTTACAGTATTTCAGGAAGACAGTTTAAAGTTTTGTTCCCTGAGTTCTTTGAGGCAATTCCAAATGTCCTTTCATGAACTCCAAGACTTTAGAGATAAAAAAATTCACATGGTTTGCTTATCTAATAGTAGTTGTTAACTTCAAAGTATTCAGTATTTCCCCTTGATTTTAAATGCTTTAAGAACGCGGTTTTATCCATTTCCTAGAAGACAAACTACCAATCAAACTTTTAAAAAAGAATAAAAAGTCTTTCATAAAGTAATAGTTTATCATCGGTTAACCATGCAGTTGAGTAAATCAATTTTGTATCTAGAATATACAAAGAAAGGTAATACTGAATCACACATTAGAAGGCAAAATATGTATTGCATTTTTTCCTGACCTCAGTGATTGAGATTATAACCTCATGAGGCAGAAATCTAACAGCTTAAAGAATTAAATATATTAGAAAGAAAATGATTCTTCAGTATTTTACTGTTTATGATGACAGAAATTTGGTTTAAAAATAAATCTCAACCCACCAATGAGAGAGAGAGAGAGAGAGAGAGAGAGAGAGAGAGAAAGAGAGCGCTCAAAGAGCTAAGCACATGCTTTGCATGCAAGTGGCCTGGGTTCGATCCCATCATATGGTCCTCTGAGTATCAGTGGGTGTGACCCCAAAACTAAAAGCAAATCTAAACCAAACCAACCAAAAATCCAATGAATGACAACTCAAACTTAAGATATCTAGGGCTTGCAGATAAAATGTGTACATAATAGTGATTTTATTTTATATTTATAATAGTGATTTTGAAAATACTCAAAGCTATTTTAGTAGTCTTAAACTATTTTCATATAACTACATTTTTAGAGATTACTATCTTCTTAGAGAATAGTTTTTTCAAAATTCAAAGCTTGGTCATAATTCTAATATGTGAATGTTTGCAACTTCCATAATGGCTGATTTATAAATTTTGTTTGTTTGGGGGTCTTACCCAGAGTAGTTCTTTGGGGGAGACTCCTCGATTTGTGCTCAAGGATCACTCTCAGGCGGCCATGCGGTGTCAGAAACTGAATCCCAGCATCCCCCCTGCAAAGTCAGAACTCAGCCTATTGAGTTCTCTCTCTAGTCCCGTATAAGAAAATTACTGACAATGAATGAAGACTTCAATTTGCTGCTGCAAGTTTTAGATTAGATTTCACTTTACGCCATTAAACATATATATATATATATATATATACACACATATATATACATATATATATCTTAAAGGTTAAGAGAACCTACTGAAATGTACCATACACTTCAGTAAAGTGCATAAATAAGAAAGTATCCTTTGGCTTCACTATGACCTCAGAGGAGGTGTAGAAGTTAGTGGTGCTGGTGTCAGATTCCTGACAATATTACTGAGGTTAGCAATCTTCTCTTCTAGGAGGTAATTTTTCTTCTCTGCAGTTTTCTGTCGCTGTTCAGTCATTTCCAGAGCTTTCAACAACTGGGCATTTTCAACATATAAATCCTTCACCATTGCGTCTGCTTTAGTATTCTTGCAAAGCTAGAAAACAGAACCAGAAACGTCTTGACTCCAAGTCCATGATTCTTTTAAGATCTGACTAAAGGTCAACTAATTACAATGGCATTTGACTCCTACCAATTATGTTTTTTTTAATCAGGGATGGAAGTAGAATAAATCCATGTATCCCACCTATTTCATGTATATTTGTGAAAGTTAGTAATCTAAAGAATCTAAAGTAACCTAAAGAATAGAGTGATGTAAAACATTTCACAATGAGTCTTTTCTACCTAGCGTTAAATACTTTATTTTCTAAAAATATCAAAATAATTTTATAATTTAAATTTCTGAGGTATCAAGTGTGCATTGTATTCATTCTATTCTTAACAATTGATGTTTAAGTTTTTTTCATTCATAACTACAGCCTGATTTATTTGAAATTTGACCAACTTTGTTATAAACAAAGAGAAATCTGGGCAGTTACCTTTTCTTAACTCTACTGCCATTGCAGTAGTTTTTTTTTTTAGATTACCTATTACAATCTTTGTGGTCGAATTTCTAGTCTAGATTGGAGCAGAAAAACTTGTCAGCAGCTTTGGGATAATTTCAATATTCTTCCTAAAATCCTTTCCATTAGTTTCCAATCTCCTTTTCCTTGCTCATTGTACAAGTGATTTCAAGAAAGGCCTCTGAAAGTATAAAGGCTTAAGGGAATAAGGAATAGAGACTAATTTTAATTTAGTAATTTATTGACTAATTAATATTGAAAAGGGTGGTGATAAAAACACACAAACCCAGATGACTGACAAATGTTAACATACGAGACTGCTCTCTACTGAAATAGTTTGCACAGATTTTCTTTCCTCCCTTTCTTCTTTCCACCGAAAAGCATTTTCATATCTCTTTCTTACCTACAAAATGAAATTCAAACCCTAGGGCTCAGCACATACACTCCTCTATTACCTGACTCCGTTTCATTCTCTCTATCTCTCTCTGGCATCTTCTGCTTCTACCAGGACAGTGTGAATTGTTAATGCCCAAAGCGTTAGTAGATATCCATCCCCCATATGCTGTCGTAACTTCCTAGACTAGACTGCCCTTCCCATATTTCTTCACCTGTTCAAAACCTTAAACAAACATCAAGACTCAGTTTAGTAGGCTTTTGGGAATTTTTTAAAAAATCCATGAGTTAAATAAAGTGTGTTCTGTGTGTTCTCTGCCACGGAAAATAAGAGTATACCCCATTTTCCAAATTTCTGAACGTGTAATCTTGCTAAATGCTCGCTACATTGTAGGTGAACTGAAGTCTATATCAGAAGGAATTTTGTTTGTTCACTGCTGTATTTTTAGCGCTTAATTCTAGAACCATATTATTCAATTCAATATTGAATTCAATGATTTAATATTATTGAATAAATGATTAGAGAATTCAATCAATAAATGCTTACTGTATAGGACCTTCTCATTTCATTGTGTGTTAGGAACTTTTCGTTGTTCTATTTCTCAGTATTCTTCAACCATAAGTTCATGAACCAGTGCTGGTCCCCAGGTGTAGAAAAGTTTAAAACCATGGGGGTATGGTGCCGCCAGCAGGTCAGTTTGTACCTATGAGGCGAGTGCATCAGCAGCCTGATGGCACCGTCAGACTTTCAGATACCCTAAAATTGCTGCTGTGCCTTTGGCCAGACCCCAAAAACTTGGGGCAAAGTTTACCAAGAAAGTAAACGACCAAAAGTTAGGTATGTGGGAGGCACACCCACAAAGCACCTCCGGCTCAGCTATATAATTGGAGGCATGGCCTCTCTGGTTCCTGATCGAACTGCTTAATGGCCACGATCCCAGAGACTCAGAAACGAATCTTGGAACCCAAAGGCTTTTGGCAGAAATGCTCCCCTGTTCCTGCAGTAGGTTACTGGCACTGGGCCACTCCAGGTGGGAATAGGTTTCATGCCTTGGCCAGTTCCCCTTGGCGGCCCGGTGACCACCATCCTCCAGAGGCCACTGGACAGTCAGGTTTGGGCCTGCAGTGATGAGACAGGCGGAGCCTCACCAGATGGGGGTAGAACCAGCCCTTTCCTCCCCATACCAGTGAGACCCCGAGTCACTGCCTACAAACAACCTCTCTGGCTCCTGATCAAGCTTCTTAATGGCCATGATCCCAGAGACTCAGAAGCAAATCTCAAAAACCAGCGGCTTTTGGCAGAAATGCATCTGGACCGCATATAAGGTGGCCGCCACCTCAGAGCTTCTTGGAAAGTCAGGTATGAGCCGGCATTGACAGGGCAACTGCAGTCTCATGGGAAGGGGGACAGTACCAGTATGTCCTTCATGCCCTACTGAAGTCACGAGTTGCCCCCCACAAGCGGCTCTTCAGTACAGCCACGGCTCCAGAGGCAAAAGGACTTAATCCAGAGCCCAGCAGCTTGTGGCAGAAAAGTGAATGGACCATGCATTAAACCACGGTGCCATGCCTCCCTGGGAGGGAAGGGGCGTTGCTCCCTTCCACCTCCCCCGCCCCCCTCCGGCAGCAAGGTGGCCACCACCTCAGAGCTTATTGGAAAGCCAGGTATAAGCCGACGTTGACGGGGCAACTGTAGTTTCATGGGAAGGGGTCGGTACCGGCTCGTCCTTTACGCCCTACCAAGGTCACAAGTTGCCCCCCATGAGCAGCTCTCTGGCACAGCCATAACACCAGACACACAGAAATCAATCTCGTAATTATCTGGCTCTTTGCAGAAATTTTCACAATGCCTTTTCAGCAATTTTGATTGTTAGGGGGGGGGGGATTCTAAATAATAATGGCACATCTTTTGCAAAATAATGAATGTAATCAATGTAGAGAATAGTTAAGTGGAAATCATCTGCCTCACAGGCATTGGAGGGGTGGAAGGTGGTGAAAAATGAGTACTGTTGAAGGAAGAGGTGTTTGATCATTGTGTGACCGACCCTTAAACCCGAAGGCTTAGTAACTTTTCCCACAGTGATTCAATAAATAAATATAAGAAGAAAAAATAATAGCTAAATAAAATTATGGGGAAAAAAAGTAAGATGAAGTTCATGCCCAATTTAATCAGCTAATCAGTGGCTGAAAAAATAGCAGTACTCCTACATTAAAAAAAGTTTAAAACCATTGGCTTTGGTTCTATAACTATCAGTCTGTGGACTGGTATGCAGGATAGGTGCCTGTCTTTAGTTTTAAAAAAGCTGAAGAATGATGATATATATTATCTCATTAAGGGCCTCTTTGAGATTATTCTTCTTAGGTTTTTATTTATCCAGAAAACAAAATTTAGCACTTTCCATGCTACCCTCACCCAATTCAGCTCCCAACTCAGTCTGTCTCAATTTCCAAGAAAGCTCTCAAAATTGTCTAGAGTAGTCCTCTATGTACAACTCTTCAGTGCATAAACAAATGCTCTCTAAATCCAGAGATCATACCCACTACCATTGGGTTAGAAAATAAGACTGCTCAGAAGCCCTAGAATTCAGGATTTCAATTCTAGTTCAAAGGACTGCCTTTTAGAGTCTGGTTATAGTTGAACGTTTCTTGTTGCAAGCAGGAAAGCTAAAGTTCCTTTTATTACTTTCGTGTTTTTCTTTTACTAACGTTAATTTTCTCTTTATTTAAAGGAACTTTTTCTGTCTTGCACAGAAAAAAAGTATTTGTAAAACTTGAGTGGTTGAACTGCTTTAGGCCTAAGTGAGTACCTGTTAGCAATTTGTTGACAAACACATACCCAAGAGTTTTGGCAATAGTAATGTGGAATAGAGAACTTAAATTTTGGTAGTGGTATAAGGGAGAGTGAATTTTAAGTTCTTCTATATTTATAACAGAATTTGACCTTATGAAACATCAAATTTAATGTAAGAGAAGAGTGTGAGACTGAAGTTAAAAGTGGAATGTGAGATGGATGGGTAGAGATGACCTGGGAGGCTCACTTGTTCTTTGAGCTGGTTCACTTTCTCCTGAAGAAGCCTCTTCACCAGTTTCAATTTCTGTTCAACTTCTATCATTCTTTCCTCCATGGCAGTTACCAATTGTTCCTGGTTTTCCTGAGGGAAAGGGGCAAAAAAATATATTATTTGAAAATCATACCACACTGAAAGGAAAAAATAAAGTTTATTTTTCCCCCAAGATGCTTAGAGAAAGGATGTTGGCCTTTGTAACAGGAAGGGTGGATTTCTGATGAAATGGGATTCCTGAACACCATGTGGGTGGCTCATATGAGAAAAGTAACCCTATTGTAGAAAGAATCAAAGATAAAAAAAAATCTTACCTGTGTTACCATCTTCCCCTGAGATAAAGAAAAACTCTGAAAACCTTTAAGTTAATACCTGTATGTACTTCTAGTAAAATAAGTATCCAAAGTCGATTTAAAAATGGCGGTCAACCTCCCATCTGTGACTGAGATCTCTCTTGACCTCTCAACATCTAAACAAAAGCTGACTTTATTCAGGATGGACTAACATTTCTCATTGGCTTGCAGTATGTGCCTAATCTCCCTTTGAATTGTCTGACCACTGAGAGAGTGTCAGGGTTTCTTCAGAATGATCAGCCTCTATCAGTCATTCTAGTAATCTTTTTCCCAGTTTGGTCAATGTGAAGCCAAGATCTAGACTGGAGGATGGATTTATCATGGAATGGGTTTAAAATTAAAAACTGTTTTCCTCTGATAGCTCCTAGATAAGCCCAAGCAAGAAGATATTCTAGGCTCCTCCTCTTCTCCTACCACAATGAGAAAGGAATTGGTGGGTTTGGAGAGTACAGTAACCTGAGGGAGATTTTAAGTGAGGCTGATTGTTGTTCCCTGAACCCCCCACCCCCACCCAAAACGTGCAAAGAAGGAGTTTCAGATTTTATAAGGCTCTTCAAGTGTTTAATCAAAAATCAGATATCAATCAGTAACGGTAAGCAGTATAACCTGCCTTCAAAAGCATTCCGAACAGGTGTCCTTGGAAAAGTATACAGATGGGAGTAAAAAGCCATTTGTTTAAATACTAGCTTTTATTCAAACATGAAAGAAAATGCTAAGCCATGGGTCTAATTTGAAGACGAAATTGTAGTTGGAAACTTGTAACCCAAATTTTAAGAAATCAGGCCTTGAGAGCAGCCAGCTTAAAATAAAACTCTATGCTTTTATATAATGAGCTTTTAAAAGTTCAACCATAAAAGTTTCAAAAATGCTTGATTTTCACTTGTCTTTAAGAAGCAAAACAAAAACCCACAACAGATAATTCAAAGAAAGTGGAACGTGGCAAAAGAGTGGAAAAGATGGAAAACAAAGGCAGTCATATATTTAAAATTTGCTTTATTGTTTCATCAAAATTTTTTCCTTTTTCCTGTCAAAAAAGTATCATACATCTTATACAAAATGGTATAAATAGCCCTGATATTCTTCAAATTCCATATATAAAAGTAGTACCTTTTGTTAAAAATAGTTACAGCATATGGAATGAGAAAATATATAGAATATGTCCTTTCAAGAATCTCAAATCCACTCTTTTTAAACGGTATAAACAAACTGATTTTGTAACAAGCTGAATTTTGTGAATTTGATCCACAAAAACCTGTTACTTCTACATAAATAAATAAGAGACATAATACTGCAAAGGGTTAACAACAATAACAATAATAAATAAGGATAATTTAAAAGAGCACTTGGTTCCAAAACATTTCTCAGCTTATGTCTCTGTGTTGGTGCAGTGTGTGTGGGAAGGGTGTGGGGTGGATGTGGGTGTGCATTTATTTGAGTATCTGCCATGGTAAGAAATGCCATCAATAGCAGCCCAGTTTCACAGGTGCCCAATCCTTCTGTAGGAATCTGCATGCACTGCTCGCTGCTCCGGTAGCAAAGCCTAGAGAAAGAAGGCAAGTGGAACACTTCACCCTGAGGTCAAGATTGGATTTTGGGGAAGAATCTAAATTCACACATTTAAAATTTTACACATTCACAAATTACACACATGACCACTACAAATGCAAGCACAGCAAAACTACAAAAGCAAAGCAGAGGTAATCACAACACTACACACACAGAGACAACATGCAGGTTCCAACAATATTTTGTGTTCTCAGCATTAGTGCCAACTTGGTTACTAGAAATAGAAGAGCCTTTAGTCAGCGGCTTGAGAATGAAGGTAAGCAGCAGTCTATCTTGCTGGCTGGCTGAAGGATTATTTTTTTTTAGCTAAAAAGTCGTGTTTGCATTTTCCGTCTTTGGTGGGGGGGAAGAGGGGATATACTGGGGATATTGGTGGTGGGAAATGTGCACTGATGGAGGGATGGGTGTTTGATCTTTGTGTGCTTGTAACTCAAACATGAAAGTTTGTAACTGTAACTCACAGTGATTCAATGAAATAAAATAAAACAAGTGGTGTTTGTTCTGGTCTAATTCTGAAATAACTGTAGTAAAAAAATTACTTAAATTTTTTAACCATTGGTGGGTGGTTTGGGAACAGCATGCTTTGAAAATAATATGTATGAGGAAGCAATGAGTAGGATCTTAGCCTCATCATTTGGTTTTATTTATTTTTTAAAAATCACTTTATTTTATTATTATTATTATTTGCTTTTTGGGTCATACCCAGCAATGCACAGGGGTTACTCCTGGCTCTGCACTCAGGAATTATCCCTGGCGGTGCTCGGGGGACCATATGGGATGCTGGGAATCGAACCCAGGTCAACTGTGTGCAAGGCAAACACTGTGCTATTGCTCCAGGCCCCATTTGATTTTAAGCATATTTAAAAACTTTGAGAATTGAATGCTGTAATGAAGAAGAGTTAAAGCATTTGTCTAGTACCACACCAGCACAGTTTTAATTGAATAATTTTAATATTTAGAAACTGAAGTGGAAAGCCTTTAAAAACATAAAAGCTTTTATAGCATAAAAGACAAAATCTGTGTGTTTTTAGGGCTACACCCAGCTGTGCTCATCCTTGGGAGAAGATGCAGTGCAGGTGAATGAATGGGCAATTCATGCAAAGAATATGCTCTAGCCCTTTGAGACATCTCTCCAATCCAAAAGAGAAAATTTTTAAAGTTTTGTTTGAACAGATGACAAAGGCACATTATGACACAGCTTAGATATATAGTGTAGGAGAAGAAAACTGCTCCGATATATAATAATTTTCAAAGCAACTTGGAGGAAATTAGAGTTGGGAAGTTCCTTTTCAAAAGTCAACTGAGAAGCAAGATATTTAAAATCAGAAGAGCACTCAAACCAGAAAATAATAGGCTTCTATGAACTAGGGAATAGATAGCACAGCAGGTAGGGCATTTGCCTTGCATGCAGCCGACCTGGGTTCGATTCCTCCGTCCCTCTCAGAGAGCACGGCAAGCTACCAAGAGTATCCAGACTGCACGGCAGAACCTGGCAAGCTCCCCATGGCATATTCCATATGCCATAAACAGTAACAAGAAGTCTCACAATGGAGATGTTACTGGTGCCTGCTCGACAAATCGATGAACAACGGAAGGACTGTGCTACAGTGCTACAACTTTGAACAACGGGAGGACTGTGCTACAGTGCTACAACGTTCAATAAACTAAGTGTGCAAGATCAAAGAGTTAAAGAGACTTCTGAAAAAATAAAAGAAAGATCATGAATGAAGCATTAAAAGAAAGAACTACCTGAACTCCTAGTAATAAAATTTGTTCGGTAGTACACTAATAATACTCATTCACTGGGAAGAAGATGTTTATTTTTAAAAAATAACCTTTAAGTGGGATGGGAGGATGGGGAGTGGGAGGGATACTGGGATCCGTGGTGTTGGGAAATGGGCACTGGTGGAGGGATGGGTATTTGATCACTGTATAATTGAAAGCCACTCACAGAAATTTGTAAGTCTACAACTGTACCTCATGATGTCTCACTAATAAAAATAAAATAAAATAAAAATAACCTTTAAATCATCTAGTTAGATTAAGTTAATTGAACTACTTCAGCCAAAGTCACTGACTGCTACTTTGCTAATTGTGAAAAATCCCCACTTGGAATGTCACGGTCCTCAGGACACTCACTGCATGCCTCCAGGAAGCACTGTTAGCAATGCATATCCAAAACTGCATTTGAATTCTGAAATATTTTTTTTGGCATCATCCAGAATGTTAATTTGTGGACTATGCTCAAGTGATCCTAATATTTCATTATGAAGTATGAATATGCAACGGTGACCCAGCGCACTTTCTCAGTTTAGAAGCAAGGGTTCAAAAGCAGCCCTATAAAACCTACAAAAACAGCATTGTGGATCTGTGGGTTTGTAATACAGGCACGGTACAACCCTAAGTGAATGGTTTTGGTTCTTTATCCCCCATCTTTGAACAGATATGTCAAATGAGCAAGTAAAATTAAATCAGATGATCTGGTTTACTACCAGAAAGAGTTTCATACCTGTGGTGTGTTGGTTTCGGAGGTTCTGTTGTCAAGTTCCTCTTGCAGGCACTGATTTATCCTTTCTGCCTGCAACAGCTGATGTTGGAGCTGCAGAAACTGCTCCCTGGGCACCATCGGACAGGCTTGCTGCTGGAGTAGGGGCAGATCCCAAGTATGAGGGGATGGGCTAAGCATCACAGTGGACTTCAGGAGCTGCATCTGGAGAAGACAAAGCCCTGATCAGCACCAGAGCCTTCTATCACAGGACTGCAATTGAGTGTGAGGCAGAGAAGGCCCATGAATGAATACGTGGCCTCTTAGACCTCCAGAGAACTGAAAACAGCACTGAAAACAGTACTGCACATGTGCATAGTAGGAAGTAAACTGCAGAGTCATTTTGCCTCAGAGGTAATATGAGGCTTTCTTAAGAGCTTTCGACTTTAAAATTTTATGTCACTATTCTTAAGTGACTATGGGGTGTGATGTATATATGATACCTGAATTCTACTTCATTTTTTTCTCCTTTTTTCTAGAATGTTGTCTTTTTATTTCTAGGGGGAAAGAGGACTGGGAAAAGAGGGATACACGATTAGGCTTTACTTACCTTTCATAATTCTTAAAGGCAAATGTTCACTGATTACATGTTTTCTAAGTTAGCTATTTTTTGGAAGACTTATCTAAAATTAAAATTATCTTAGTTTGTAGTATTATATTCTTAAATTATATAGTGCAGTAAAATAGGCAATTTTGGCACATATAGGGTGACACAGAGAACATCTGGGAATTAAAATATTTGCTCAAGACAATGAGGAAATGGTATATGTTAACATGCAGACGGAAGTTGGGGAGTGGAGAAGGGGAAGGCGCTGCGCAGCACTGGTGAAGCAAGCCACTTCACATCTGTCGACACTTTCAGCAGACCTGGGGCTCAATGGAGGCATGCAACAAGCGAGGACTAACAAACAACAGGCAGGCTCAGGAGAAGGGAAAATGGGAAAATGGCCCTCCAAGACTCAGCTTGATAAATCCCATCATGAAACTTCAGAGCCACTATCCATTTCCTTACAACCAAATTTCTAAGGTGGGCTACTACCCATTTTGAAATATTTCTAGTGGTAGATCCAGAAAACCACTTTGTTTTCAGGAATAAAGAGAATGGAGAACTCTGACCACACCATCACCCCTTAGGGAGATGATTCTCTTCACACACCAAAGCTTAAAAACCTGAAGAGAGAGAACCTTAATATAAATGTAATGAAGGCATGGTCCACAGCTAAACCAAAACGAAAATGAATACTGGCTCTTACTGTAGTATTTATTAACTTTAAAAATCAGTATAAATGATTGCATGAACAAGTTTAATGAGTTGTCTCATGCTATGGAATTTATTGAAAAGAGAACGTTCTACCTTCACACACTATCTCAGGCAGAGAACTGCACCCTTCTCTGTTAGTTCCAACCACAGAGTTCTAGGTACATGTTAGCCACAAACAAAAGGAAAACAAAAGAAAATTACAGAGTTAAGAAAAAGAGGAAGAAGAGTGTGAGTTATAAAAATAGAACAGAACAGCATAAATTGGGCCTATCAACCATCTGAATATGTTTTTAGTAAGAACTTATAAAGGACTAAATTTCTTTGTATATAAATGTTAGCAAGTATCTTAGCGCTCTAAGCCTGCAACTCACCTACAATAATCTGGCTTGTGAGCTTTCCACCTTTACCTCCACCTACGCCTATTTAATTATTTGGAAGATGCCGGGCCAGTAGAGACTGGAACCACAATGTTCAAAACCCACCTCATCGGAGATCAGAATCTAAACTACAAAACGCTTTTGTTTCTCAACCATCTGAACTTTTGGCTAATAAAGGTACACACAGCAGTCCAGAATGCTACAGATACAGTCTGAAACCCATTTTTTAAAACAACATTCAAAGTGAATTGTTTAAAGAACCCTGCCTCTGATAGTTGGGAAAAAGCCTAGGGTAAAGAAGGGAGTAATACTGCTCCATTTCCAGGTGGGAGAGACAGTAGAGGAGTTAAGGTGTTTGCTTTGTATGTGGCCAACTCCAGGTTGATCCCCAGCATCTCTGTCAGGAGTGATCCCTGAATGCAGAGCCAGGAGTGGCTCAAAAGACATAAATTCTACCCCCAAGTAAGCCCAGAGATGAGATTAGAATCTCCTTGAAAGTTTTTCTTCCATTGGTTGACCCAAACATTTCACAGGCAGGGATACCTCTGCGCCTTCCTACTGGCCCTCACCCAAACCTGATATGAGCCCCTGTCAGAGTAAGAGGAATGCATCTACTCTTTCTCAGGTGACTGAGTGCAGAACAATGGTTTTAAAATCACTGCACACTCCCTGAGGTAAAGATATAACAAACATGTATGATAGATGCAGGGCTGGAACTATGACTCAAACGGATGGAGTACATGCTTGGCTCCATCTCTGGCCCTGCATGTTTCCAGAACACCACTGGGTGTGACTCTGCCCAGTCCAGAACACCAGCCCAAACATGGAAACAATTAAGACTGGGAGTAGCCCCCAGGGTCCCTGAGCACTGCCGGGTGTGGTCTCTATAAAAATCATTTGTATGGCTGTTGGTGTGGGAGCTAGGGATTTATTTCTTAAAGGTTAGAGTTTCTTTTTGAGAGGACGAGAAAGTACTGGAAATCATGACAGTTGTAAAACAGTTAATGCCACTGAGTTGTACACTTCAAAAGTCACCACAGCAAATTTTACTATTTATGTATTTCTCACTATTTAAAATGAAATACTTCAAAAGTCATGGAATTATATACTTAGAAGTAGGTAAATTACATAGCATGCTAATTATATTTCAATAAGAAAACTAAGAATCCAATTTGTATGCTTCCTAACAAAAGTTTCATCAGAATAATGGAGCAGATTTTTTTTTTCAGTATTCCAATTGAAAATTCATCGTTGTCTTTAGTTATTCCATTTCAGTGCCAAGAACATGCAATTTCCCCACCCATTAGCAAATATTTACTACAAGATCAGGGAGAAAAAGAATGAGGGGGAATTGCTTATGGTGTCAAATGAAAGTGGGCCAGGGAAAAAAGGGGGTTTCTGAGGCCAAAGAGAACAGGTGGGGAAAGAAGTGACCTGCTGGCAGAGCACTGAGACAGCATCTCACAGAGATAAAGTATACCCTGTTACTTTTCAGTTTGCTACTAGACACACTGGGTTTAACTTCAGATCTCTTATTCATTAAAGTATGTAATTATTTCATCAGAAAAGCATATTTACATCTAAATACAACCTACAGCTCAAGGCTTTTGAACACTTTCATTATATGCTGTCAGAGGAAGAAAAATGGCCTGGATATTACTATATATAGTCCTACCAATCTTCCTATTAGTACATGAATCAGATCCAAAGCTGGACAGAAACCTCAATGGTCATTTAAATGTCAATGTGATCTGTTTGCTCATACTTCACATTTAGAAGTCCAGCATTTATTCAAAATTAAAGTAACCTTTTCATGGGTCCAGTTTTTTTCTTTATTTTTTTAATTGAATCACCATGAGATACAGCTACAAAGCTTTTATGTTTGAGCCTCAGCCATACAATGATCAAACACCCATTCCTCCACCAGTGCACATTTTCCACCACCAGTGTTCCCAGTATCCCTTGCTCCCCATCCCCCCATCCCAGTCTTCACCCTGCCTCTATGGCAGACCATTTTCCCAATACTCTCTCACTACTTTTGAGCATTATAGTTTGCTTGAATTTTCCCACCACCATTCAAGCCTGACTGTCAGGGGCAGATGGTATTGCTCACTTTGAATATGATGAGAGGTTGCACGGCCACAAAACCAGCTGCGCGATTCTGGAATTCTAAGATTGTAAAAGGCTGGGGTTCAGAGATATCTCTGTAGGGCAAATCTATTTTGGAATTCAATTGCGAGTCCCCAGATCAGAGCTGTTAGTACACTAAGATGGCATCCAGAGGCAGATTGTGGGCATGCATGGGTCCAGTTTCTTAAAAGAAAATATTTAAATATCGCTTTCAAGAGTTTTGTCTTTAAAACATTTGTATAACATAGTACTAAAAGCACAAAAAGGCATCTACAACCCATGCCTCTCTACCTGGTGTAAATGTTATAGCTCACTAACTGTTGGATAAATGAACTATTATTTATCTACACAAATCAACAATTATTTATCAGTCACAATGAAATCTTTATTTATTAAGGCAGATTTGCACACAAATTGTTTTATATCCTATAAGTTCACTCAGTATTCAAACTGTAGATCAGATTGCCAATGGAAAATCCAATACCTAAGCTGATAATTCTGACCTACACATTTTAATATTTCACAGACTCTCTTGCACAGCAGTGCTGTTAGAAATGCAGTGTTGAACAACAATAACATTTGAAAATTAAACTTATACTGAGGCTTCCCAAGCAGTATTCAGAGGGTGGAGTAGCCACCCTTATATTCTCTGACAACCCAGTGGTTAGATCAATGTGACTGCCCAAAGAAGCTGCTCTATCTCACGGTATTTTATATATATATATATATATATATATATATATATATATATATATATATATTCCCTGCATTGATATCTTTTTTTTTCTTTTTTGGGTCACCCAACGATGCACAGGGGTTACTCCTGGCTCATGCACTCAGGAATTACTCTTGGTAGTTGCTTGGGGGGACCATATGGGATGCTGGGAATTGAATCCGGGTCAGCCATGTGCAAGGCAAATGCCCTACCTGCTGTGCTACTGCTCCAGTCCCCTTTACTTTTTTTTTTCTTTTGACTGCACTAATTTCTTAACTGAAAAGGTTGTTTGAGGGGAGCACAGGTGTGAAGCTTAGCAATAGGAGAGGTCTCAGGAAACTGTTAGACCTGCAGTGAGGCAGAAGAGTGATGGGGCTTAGTATTAGGGAGTCTGTGCCACTTGCTGAAATCCAGGTCTTTGCTCTTAGGATAGTCAACACTATTGCTTCTTCTACAAAGCAGTCTGAATTCCTATGACTGTGTAATTATGTAAAACTGTCTTTCAAACTTGAGAGACCAAAGAATTCAATTTGGCAGCAAACTTACATTTTCACTTTCCGTAACGGGAATTCAACACTGTGCTTGTCTCTCCCAACAAATGGCTCATTCACGGATTAAAATGTCCTTCATCGCAAAGGACTTTTGCTTAAAAACTTACCTCCATTAGCTGCTCATCCAGTTTTACTTGTTTCTTTTTCAGGACTTCATTTTCTAAGTGAATTGTTTCTAATTCTTGTTCAAGGGAATTCATCTGGCTGGCCTATTAAAATATGAAAAAATTCCTCTTAAAAGACCAAACAAAAACACCTTGGTGGCTTCACTGTATTTTGACAAACTTTTGCTCATCATAACTCAATGCTTGGAAGAACAGCATGTTCATGCACTGGAGGAAACAAAAGCAATGTAATGCAGTGCACTGCTTACATTTTAGTGTCTAGCTTAATCACCACTCCACATATAGGAAAAATTCCTTAAGGCAGCTGGGTTTCAAGCTTCAATGCCATCTACTGTAACTCCTCACATAAAACAAATTCCTTAAGGCAGCTGGGTTTCAAACTCCAGTGTATTTAGTGTAAGAAATATAATTAACTTGCAACTTACTATATATACCCATACTCATATGTAAATGTATATGCATAAGTACATATCACTGAAAGAACTTTCCAGAAATAATAATTATCCATACGCCCAAGGCATGTACTTGAATTACTTTCTTATTTGTAAAAAATGCTTCATCTACTAAAGAGGCACAGTGTGAAAAAAGCTGTTAGAGCAAAGATACAGAGCAAGAGTATATAAAAACTGATTTATATAACTTTTACCTAAGGTAAAGATGAACCTTTAAGTATTAATTTTTAGTGTTCCCTATATTCTTTATATACAGAAAAAATTCAAAATGCTGCTAAGCAGAAATGTGAAGCTATTCTAGAACACAAGATCTGTGCCACAATCAAAAGTACTAACCACACTCCCTAAGACTGAGGACCGGAGGGGAAAGGGTGTTGCCCCATTCGCCCTCTTCTCTCTGGAAAGAAAGATGGCGGCCGCATGGGAGCCTTGTGGACAGCAAGTATGAGCCGGGGGAGTGGGGGCGACTAAAACCTCTTGTGAAGGGGGGCGTTCCGGTCCGTCCGTCACGCCCTACCGAGGCCACCAGTTGCCCCCCACGAGCGGCTCTCCAGCAGGCCACAGCCCCAGAAGCACAAGGACTTAATGCAGAACCCAGCAGCTTGGAGCAGAAAAGTGAAAGGACTATGCGTTAATCCAGGCAATCATTTCTGCCCAGAGGGGAAAGGGTGTTGCTCCCTTCCGCCCTCCTCCCTCTGGAAAGAAAGATGGCGGCCAAATGGGAGCCTTGTGGACAGCAGGTATGAGCCGGGGTGTGGGGGCGACTAAAACCTCATGGGTCGGGGGGCGTTCCGGTCCGTCCTTCACGCCCTACCGAGGTCACCAGTCGCCCCCCGCGAGCGGCTCTCCAGCACAGCCACAGCCCCAGAAGCACAAGGACTTAATGCAGAACCCGGCAGCTTGGAGCAGAAAAGTGAACGGACTATGCGTTGAACCAGGCCATCAAGTCTGCCGGAGGGGAAAGGGTGTTGCCCCATTCGCCCTCTCCTCTCTGGAAAGAAAGATGGCGGCCACATGGGAGCCTTGTGGACAGCAGGTATGAGCCGGGAGTGTGGGGGCAACTAAAACCTCATGGGAAGGGGGGCGTTTCAGTCTGCCCTTCACGCCCTACCAAGGCCACCAGTTGCCCCCCACTAGCGGCTCTCCAGCACGGCCACGACTCCAGAACACAGAAACCAATTTCTTAACTATCTGACTTTCAGTTGAAATACTTCCAGGGTCAATAGGTAAAATAGCAGAAATCCAAAACCAACATTAATTCTTGAACCCAGCTGTAGAAAGCAAATCACTTCACAATGCTTTTTCAGCATGTCTGATTGGGGGGGGGGTAAACTCTAAATAATAGTGGTGAATCTTTTATTGAAACAATGAATCTAATCAAAGCAGATAGAGTGTTAACTAGAATTCATCTGCCTCACAGGGACGGGGAGGGGTGGGGGGTGGGGTTTTATTGGGGTTCTTCATGGTAAAAAATAAGTATTGGTAAAGGGAAATGTATTTGATATTTGCATGACTGAGACCTAAACCTGAAAGCTTTGTAACCTTTCCCACAGTGATTCAATAAATAAATAAATTAATTAAAAAAAAAAAAGACTGAGGACCAATTCTCTGTCTCTGATTAATGCCCCCTCCAACCCAGGGAACTCTGCCTTCTATAAAAAGAAAGGGACACGTAACAAGGATAAGCAGAATAAAAAACACCTGTGTGTAGCATGGAGCTAAGAGTGGTAAGAATTGTGAATTAAAACTCTCATCTTTCCACTAATTCAAATTCATTGTTACTTTAAAAGCTCTCGTTAGCCTTCTTTGGTGAGCATCCAGATGAAACCTACCGATGAATATACCAACTTCAATATACCTGAATGACATTTCAAACTTTTTTTTTCTGTCAGTGGTCAGGACAACTTTTACAAGCCAAAAAATGGGTAAATTTTTCAATAATAAATACAAGGAGATGTTTACACACCATTCTTTCTTTTTAAATTTTTGGCCTCCCAAGTAGTACCCAGGTGGTCCAAGGGGCCATCAGCCAGGCCCTGAGGTTCAGTGCAAGAGCCTGAGGATGCGATGCTGCTCGGCCATGTGGTGCCGGGGGGTGCCCATTGGTGCTGGGGCATCAAGGGCTGTACCTGTCATGTTCAGGGACATCAGCTGGTGCCAAGAATCAAACCTGGGTCAGGCTATGGCACACCTGCGCTCTAACTGCTGTGCTATCTCCCAGCCCTGATTACTCAGCAGTCTTTTCAGGTTTTCAAGTACATAATTCTCAGAAGAGGAGAAATATCATCAGGAAAATCTAGAATTGTAACTCCAAAGAACAGAATAAAGAAGGCAAACTGAGTTGTACTACAGAGGCTTAACCTCTGGGCTTTCCTTCATCATGTGGCAGTCAGCCTCCAAGATGGTTCCAGCCTCTTGCTAGGGGCACTCCCGCATAGTCCCTTCCCTCATTGGTCTGAGTGATCAACAGAATACAATATAAGTAACTGCAAGCCCTTTTCACAGGTTCTGAAAGGTCCTACAGCTTTTCTCATGAGTCGTTGGGGATCTTTTTCTCTCAGCTTCTCAATTCCTGCTCCACAGAAACTGACAAAACAGTTTATGATTTTTATTATCAATAACAATAGATAAATATCATAGCACAGCAATAGGTAAGAACAGGACATATTAAGAAGTTCTCAATAGTCCAACTATATATATTTTACTCACTTAGAAAGACTTGTGATAGTAACCTAAAGAAGATGGTTTCTATAGGAAAGTTTAAATCAGCTCCTTTTTGAGCATCGCTCATTCAAACTATTAATCAAAATGAACATGATACTCAATGGAGTACTATGTATCTGTTAGAAAGGATGAAGTCATGAAGTTTACATACAATTGATACTACATGGAAAGTATCATGCTAAGCGAAATGAGTCAAAAAGAGAGGGACAGACATAGGAAGATTGCATTCATCTGGGGAACATAAAGTAACAAAATAGGAGACTAACACTCAAGAATAGCTGAGATAAGTACCAGGAGGTTTACTCCATGACTTGGAGGCCAGCCGCACACGCTAGGTGTAAAGTCAGCTCAGATAGAGAAGGGAACACCAAATAAAGGGTGCTGGGAAGATCCTCCCAGGATGGGAGATGCATGCTGAAGGTAGTCGATAGACCAAACAGGATTGCCACTCAATTTCTCTTTTGAAAACCACAGCACCCAAAAGGAGAGAGAGAACAAAAGGGAATGCCCTGCCACAGAGGCAGGGTGGGATGGGAGGGTGGGGGGTGGGAGGGATACTGGGATTAGTGGTGGTGGAGAATGGGCACTGGTGGAGGAATGGGTACTCAATCATTGTATAACTGAAACCCAAGCACAAAAATTTGTAAGTCCACAACTGTACCTCATGGTGTTTCACTAATAAAAATTTAAAAAAAAAAAAGAACATGATACTGTTTTGACCATTTATACAAAAGCATAGAAATGAGGAAGACACAAACTATGCTTTGTAATCCTCTCCTTGGAAGCACTCAAGAGAAGAAATGTGCACTGCAGGGCAGGAATCTCAGAGTGAGAATGTTAAACACATGAGACCCACCTTCCTATTAGCAGCTCCTTCCTTCTGAAACTGCTCACACTCTCTCTTTAAGCTTAGCTTCTCTTGATCTGTGGGTTTCACAGTACTTGATGGATTTAGATGTTTTGGGTGTTTAGGGAGAAGAAGGCTGGATTCCAGTTGACGGATCTATCAAGAACAAATAAACAAGGACATGCTAATGTAATCAATTGTCCAACCACAAAAGTCATGTACAACCAAGATAAACATGTGTTTTTATTTAGAACTTCAGTTTTATTGCATTGAAAAAAAAGGTGTTTATTTTTTTCAGTTAGGTCTGCCAAACTTGAAGCTTACTGTTTTGGATCTCAAAAGATCTCTTCTAGATAACTTAAAAAAATATTTTGGTTGAATATTTTGGTTGAATCTAAAATGCTATGAGGACAAGACTGGGATGAAAGAATCTTTGGTTTAACCTAACTCTGGGAGTCAACAGTATGCTGTGGCTGTGAAGAGAAGATTTAGTCTTAAGAGCTTTTGCCATGACATCTTGTGGGAGTGACTGAGGAGTTTGACTGTGTACCAAACTGTTTCAACCTGAAAAATCAACTCAGGACCATGAGGGCAGGGGCAAGTTCTCTCTGTATAAAATTTCTGATTTTAATATAAAAGGCTTATACAAAAACACCTATTTTATATAAACAAAAGGATAAAATTATATGCAAGTTAAGTGATAAATTATGCATTGTTAAAAACAGGTCTGCCATTGGGGCTGAAGTTAGTACAGGAGGTAGGGCACTTGTCTTGCATGTGGCCAACCCAGGTTTGATCCCCAGCATCTCATACGGTCCCCTGAGTTTCGCCAGGAGTAATTCCTGAGTGCAGATCCAAGAGTAAGCTCTGAACATTGCTAGGTGTGTCTCCAAAACCCAAAGAGGTCTGCTGTAGAAGAACAGTCAAGGAACCTAAAACCATTTTTTCTTTTTTGCTTTTGGGGTCACACTCGGCGATGCACAGGAGTTACCCCTGGCTCTTCACTCAGGAATTACTCCTGGCAGTGCTTGGGGAACCATATGGGATGCTGGGAATCAAACCCGGGTTGGCCACATGCAAGGCAAACGCTCTACCCGCTGTGCTATCACTCCAGCCCCCTAAAACCATTTTAATTGCATCATTTATTTTCAGATCAAACTAAACATCTTCAAACAAATGACAGTATGTGCAACTTTTCAAGTTACCTTCTCCCGGGAGTGTGTAAGTTCTTCTCTGGTGTTCTGCACTACTGTTTGGAGTTTGTCATTCTCTTGCCAAAGCAGCTGTTGTTCCTCATTTATCAGATGATCCAACTTGTCCCAAGATGGTCTTTGCTGCTGATTATGGAACTCTGATGGATGGGTAGCTATTTCTGGGGCCCAGTTCTTAAGAGAAAATTTCAGAGTTAAATCTCAAATATATGCCATCTTTTATTTTCAGTGCAAATTTACCTAAGACAAACTTAAAAAAAATTATTTGCTTTATTGTTTTGGAGATCACACCCAGTGGTACTTAGGGTCTATTCCCATTTATGCGCTCAGGAGTCACTCCTAGCAGTGCTTAGTGGAAAATGTGGTGCTGGGGACTGAACCCAGGTCCCCAGCGTGCAAAGCATGTGCTCAGCCCACAGAGAGAGAGAGAGAGAAAGGTGAGAGAGAGAGAGAGAGAGAAAGAGAGAGAAAACAAATCGATTACAAATGTTTATAAGCTATATATTTGGAGTGTAAGTTTGTAAAATGGCTTAGAAATTTCTTGAATAGTTATTGGCAAAACAGCCTCATTCAATCTAATAGTTAAGATGATTGTAGGGTAAGCCCCAGTTCCATACATAACCCACATTCATACTTCGCATGTTGGATACCTGGGTTTCATCCTTTCCAGTGCATGCTCCCCCAAGCCTGCCAGATGTAGCCCCCAAACAAAAACAAAGAAAAATTGCCGCGTCCTTTTGAAGTTATGCTTTGAACCCAAGTACCTACTATTTTGGTCAACAGAAAACACAAAGAGAATTCTTAAATGCACAGCTAACTTGAAGCTTTTGTAACTTAAACTCTACTTTTATTTTCACATATGCAATCATATCTTTTTTTAGAATGCAAAGCACCTATTCAGTCATGTAATTGAGGCCTGAATTTAGGAATATGCTTTAAGATGCCAAAGGGATACTTTGGATCCTGAAAAAAATTCTCAAAGGTGAAAAAAAAACTAGATAAGAAAGTTGTTTTTAAGTCAAAACAAGAAAAAGGACAAAGTAGAATCTCATTTGAGAATAATAAAAATTCAGAATACTAATAGATGGATTTTATATTTTTAAGAAAATCACAGTTAAAAGTACAGGAACACTTCTCAAAAAATTAAGAATTGACCTTTCAATACAAATCAGCAATACCATCTCTCAGCATCTATGTAAAGGACCAAAATCACTATGGCCAAAAGACATTTGTGTTCCTATGTTTATTGCAGCATTACTCACAATAGCCAGACTCTGGAAGTAATCCAAGTGCCCAAGAACAGGTGACTGGATAAATAAACTGGCATATATATGCAATGGAATACTACTCAGCTATGATAAAAGACAAAATCATTCACTTTGTAGTTATGTAGCTGGATCTAGTATCCTGCTCCTCAAGTCAGTCAGGAGAACAGAAACAACTACAGAATAATAGCCCTCCTAGGTGGGATATAAAGAAACATAGTAAGAAAGTAACACATGGGCAAAGACAACATAATCTGAGAACTGGTCTACAGAAGTGAGTTTACCAAGGGTGGCAGGCAGGTGAGGGCATGGCAGGGACACTGAGACAATAGGGAAAGGAAAACAGACACTCTGGTGAGGGTGCAGCGTTGGAAAACAGCATGCATGAAGCCCGATCATAAATAGTATTATAAATCATGGTGCCTTATAGTAGGACAGAGCAATAGTACATAGTAGGGCATATGCCTTGTAAGCAGCAGACCCAGTTCAATCCCTACAAGAACTTCCCAGAGTAAACCCTGAGGACTGTCAGATGTGGCCCCAAAAACAAAAACAAAAAAGGAACCAAGAGATAAAATAACTGAATTAGCATTAGTATCTACTTTTACAGTAGAACAAAATATTAACATCTGCCTCAAGGCTGATATTTATTAGCATTCTTAATGTATTTGCACATAAAGGAAGCAATATTCTAATATATAAGAAAGGTTTTCTACATTAAAATACTTTGGTTTTATGGAATCAGAGATGTACCTCAGAGTTTCAGAGTTACATGCTTTGTATGGCCAAGGCCTGGGTTCCATGTCAGACACATGAAGACAAAATTTCAGTTTTTATATGACTTTTTACTCTTAAAAAAGTTACCCAGAATGGGGGGTGGGAGGGATACTGGGATCAGTAGTGGTGGATAATGGGAACTGGTGGAGGGATGGGTATTCGATCATTGTATGACTGAAACCCAAGCACAAAAATTTGTAAGTCTACCACTGTACCTTATGGTGTTTCACTAATAAAAATTTTTAAAAAATTACCCATAGTATTGATTTGTTCAATAAAATACCTTATGTCTATGGTTCTATTTCTATGAAGTTCAAGAAGCAGCATTCCTAACCAATAGGGGGAGAAGTGTTTTCCTTGGGCTTATCAACTAAGGGGAGACAAGGACTTGACTTTGGAAATGTTCTGTATTTTGATCCAATGAGAATATTTATGAGGATCCAAAAGGTGGTTTTGCAAACATAATATGCTACTATAAGGAACATTTCTCTATGTAGGTATGTATATGTTCATACATATACATAAAGCTAATCAGGTTATAGACTTAAAATTTACATACTTTGATATACAAAGTTGTATCTTACCTGCAACAAAAGAGAACTTACCTTGTCATCAGCATTCTGAAGTTGCTTATGTAAAGACACCAATTCTTGTTTTAAAGCCTCATTTTCTTGCTGAGTCACTCGAAGATCAGATTTAATACGGGACATTTGCAGGTTTATGTTCTGCAGAGTGTCTTCTAGACTCTGAACCTACGTCATGAGAACAAGCTTATACTGCTATGCAAATCCTCATTGTCTTACTCAAAGCATGTCAATGAATGAGCCAGAAGAAGAGAATTTCAAGACCTTTTCTGTTTCTTTGTATAACAGTGAGCAATTTTCAGGAAGTTAGCACAAACCCAGAGCATTATGAGTGTTTACAAGATGTTAATTTCATTTAAGACAATGGGGAATTATGCCTGGAGCAAGTTGTTACTGATCTCAGCACTAAATAACAGCACAAAATACATTTTGTGGAATTTTGAAGGCTTAAAATAAGAATGTGCATTTGTAGAACCACTCTCTCTCTCTATACACACACACACACACACACACACACACACACACATACTTAAATTAAACAATTTAAATTTACTTGAAAAGTTGTAAAAGAAAATTTGACCGTGATCTTTATGATAGGGTATGACACTGCCTTAGAAATCCTCATTTTTGCATATCGTTCTAAACTTTCACAAAGAGCAGAACTCATACTTGTAAGATATTTTATAATACTGAATTTGGAAGAAAACTGTGGTTTTCTGAGGGTAAGGGTGGCCCCCCAAGTAGTTCTTAAGAGGTCTGAGGCCCCACTTACAATTCTCAACCAACTTCAATACACAGAATGAGTATTCGGTGCTGCTCGGGCCCTGCAGTGCCAGTGCTAGGGAAGACCAGGGCTACCTCAGTGGTGCTCAGGGCCCTCCAGAGCTGCACCTGATGACGCTCAGGGGGCCCATGGGGTGCAGAGGTCAAACCTAGCTCAGGAACATGCCAATTGCTGTACTATCTCCCAGAAATAGGAACTTTGTATTTTTAAGTACTCTACATACAGCATATGTCAAATATTGGTCAACTGAAGGCATTTGAAGACATGTTAGACCACTTCACTTGCAGCATTCTCTCTCCTCCCTGCCCCCCTCCCCTGTTCTCTATAGTTTTGAGGGTCACACCTGGCAATGCTCAGGGGACCTAATTTGTTGCCTGGTTTATCCAGTTTATGTAAAACACTGTTCTACTACTTGAACTACATGATTCCAGCCACTTGGAATATTATTTCCACTGGGATTTCTGTTAGAAGGTATAGGGAAATATTGATGATGCAGATTAGACAGGCATTGCCCACATACCTTTTCCTGTGATGCCACCAGCTGTGTCTTCAAGTTTTCATTCTGATGTTCCCAAGACTTCTGTTCCTGCTTCAGAGCAGTAATCCTGTGCTCTAAAAGTCTTGATTTTGCCAACTGTTTCAGGAAAAGAGGTAAAGTGGTATTTTTACGAACTAATCAAGCCTTGATTTCTATACCTCCATGAGCACTGACAACATCAAGTGCTGTCTATTTACATGGGAGCGTAGGTCTGACTCTCTTCTACCTTTAATTTCGAAGAGATGCTTCTCTTTTGGGATTTCCATTTGTCCTTCTCACTGGCTAATATAAGATATTGGGCTGAAATGCAATTAGAAATCCCAAATATAATGTATAAAGTGCCCATTACAGCAAGCAAGAACAAAAAGCATTGCTTATGGATTTTCTAGGGAAAAATACAATAGGAAAAAAAAATGTCTATGTAAGTAAAACACTAAATATGGTATCACTGTACCACTGTCATCCCATTGATCATCAAATTACTAAAGCAGGCGCCAGTAACGTCTCTATTCTTCCCAGCCCTGAGATTTTATTTTATTTTATTTTTTTATTAGTGAAACACCATGAGGTACAGTTATAGACTTACAAATTTTTGTGCTTGGGTTTCAGTTATACAATGATCAAGTACCCATCCCTACACCAGTGCCCATTTTCCACCACCACGGGTCCCAGTTTCCCTCCCACCCCCCATACTCCCCATCCCACCCTGCCTCTGTGGCAGGGCATTCCCTTTTGTTCTCTCTCTCTCTCTCTCCTTTTGGGTTTTGTGGTTTGCAAGAGAGGCATTGAGTGGCAATCATGTTTGGTCTATAGTCTACTTTCAGCATCCAGCCCTGAGATTTTAGCAGCCTCTTCTTACTCGTCTTTTCCCAACGACTGGAGGCTCTTCCAGCAAATAAATAAATAGCAAATATGGTAGTATTTGCTATTTATACCAGATAAATAGCAGAATGGTGAATATATCAATTGCAAGCAGCATTATGGCATGTTAAAATGAGACCAACTCTATCACTGTATTTGTTAGTATTAAAGCATTTGTTTAGAGTCTAAGATCAGCTAAGCACCTAATTCAGGAGCTTCTGGAGCAATCTGGCTATCACAGGAGGCCCAGCCACCATTGCACATAGAGAAATGCTTGCTACAGGTGCACTCTAGGGGCAGGAGGATGATGACACAACACTAATTTTACTACCTCATCAGCATAGCTGTTTAATTCTTCACTCAGAGCCTCCTTTTCTTTCAGCAGCTGTTTATTGTAGCTTAGAACAGTAGAAATTTTTTGCTGGAAGTCCGAGAGATCAGGACATCTGTGAGGCTGGAAGAGATAAACAGGTCCCACCCATGGCATTACATGGCTGTATTTATAAACAGGACACCTTCCTGGCTGCTGTTTCCCTATCTGTAGGCTTCAAGTAACATGTGAACTCTAGGGGACCGTAGTTAACTTTCACAAAATGTTCCCTGCTAGCTTCTCTCTCTCCTGACTGCTCAAATGCCTGCTCAGAAAGAATCAAGCAAATACACCATAGTTAAATCAGGGCCCAGCTTTCTGATTTAAAGAAACAGTTTCTTACACACTTAACTCTTTGTACCTGTAGTTCTTTGTTATCTTTCACTGTACTTTTACATTTTCATCTCTCAAAATCAAATGATTTTATGGCTGTCTTTCAATATCCCACTTTTAGTTTTATTTTTTACATTTAACATTAGCTTTTTTATTTTTGGATTTTTGGCTTTTTCTAAAAAGGTAGTGCTCAGGGCTTACTCCTAGGTCTGTGCTCAGCAAACATTACTAGTGATACTCAGGGGATCATTTGGGGTGCAGGGGCTGAACCCGGGTTGGCCGCATGCACGGCAATGTTCTTCCTGTTGTGCTATCATTCCAGCTTCTTAACATCGTTTTTTGGGCCACATCTAGTGGTACTTGGAAACTACTCCTGGCTTTGTGCTCAGAGGTCACTCCTAGTGGTGTTCAGAGAACTATGTAGTGTCAGTGATTGAACCCAGGCCTCCTACAAGCAAAGCATGACACGATGGACTTTAAGGGTAAAGTCTTAGTTTCAACTGGCAACAAATCCAGCATGCAGTACAATCCAAAAAAGCCAGAGGGATGTAGAAAAATATATATTAAATTACCCAGGCATTGTTAAAATCTCCTTTGCCCATTATCTTGTCTCTCTTTCCCAGAACCCTTCACAAAACCGGGTACTAGATTGGATGTCTATAAGGTAATTATGTAACGTCTGCCTTTCTTTCTGCTTCTTTTTAGTATAGTAGATAATATAAGTTAAAGTGCTTTTTTCAGGTAATATCATGTCAGACAGATTGGCACATGCTTTTGAGGTCCAGGTTTATGATACCAACAGTGAACCTACACTGTCCCATTTCAGAAGCAGGAACCCAGGTGTCATGAAACAATTTCCTAACACAGACAGAAAGGGTTCAATATTTTTCTACATCACTGTGCCAACACCTCCATAAAAAATATGCATTTCCTTCCCAATTCAACTCCTTTTCTGATAATTAGCTTAGTAGAGTCATGAAGTACACTGTTACCATACTATAGATTTGGGACACATCTCAGCATCTTAAGGTAGGCTGAACAGATACAAGAGAAAAAGTTTATAATTTAAGGATGTCATAATATTAACGTTACCTTCTGGTGAAACAAATAAATAAAATTGAACAAAATTCTTCTGCTGTAAAACAGGATTGTTCAAACTGCCTATATTCAACTGACAAAAAAGTCAGAATCAAGAATAAGAAAATTTTCAGGATAGGACTTGAAGAAAACAACTCCTATCTTCAACTGATTTAAAGTATTCAACTGGCAATTAATCCAGCTGAAGATAAGAAACTCTCTTGGCGGCGGGGGAGGGAGATGAGCTACTGGGGAGCTGGGCCATACCTGGCTATGCTCCTGGCTTGTTAGGCGATCACTCCTGGTGGTGCCCAGGGAACCAACTAGGGTTGGCTGCATGTAATCCTTGTACTATCTTTCTGGCCCCAAGGAAACCCCCTAGTAAGTCTCTGCTTGACACTTTTCTTTGACCAAGTCCTTAGGAGAGACAAAATCACTGATAATACTCTAGAATTTAACTCTCAAGCTAAGATAGATGCTTCATGCCTGCCACGAGAAAAAAACTATAAAAGAGACCAGTTCATAGGTGATTTAGAAATCTCAGTGTGAACTGAGTTATGCAAGTGATAAGCAAAGAGGCACCCTCCTTTTAGATAAACTTACCCTGTCAACTGGCCAAGAAAAAACAGAACACTGCATTTCTTAAACTGAAGTATTGGGATTTCAAGCTACAGTATTTCTATCTACAACATACCCATTACTTAAATAGAACACTGACAGAGTTCCCACAGGAACCCTTCAGTCTTCAATACACAAAGCAATCATTTATTGACAAGACTCTGATGTTAGGTGGCAAGAAACAACAGGCCACCAGAAATATACTGTTCTACGAATCCCCCTTAAACACCCCACTTTGCAAACTGCACAGTCTTACTTGTTTCATTTTCTCCAGTTCATCTTTAAGAAGGAGGTTTTCCTGTTCCACGAGATGGATCTGCATTTTAACTTTAGAAAGTTCTGCCTCCAGAGAAGACACTAAGGTGGAGGACTGGGAGAGAAATTAAAAAGTCAAGTGACAGACACAGTCATTTAGTCTGGAGAAAAGTACTGGGTTCACAAAAAAGGCAGTATTAAGGGAACACTAGTACAAGGTCAATGACACTGTGGGATGACCACTTTTCTCTCGAGTAAACAGAAGTAAAGCCATCATTTAATAAATCCCACGCCCAGTGGTGCCTGATGGTGTTGTGCTTGGACGCATTTGGTGGTAAGGGGCCACAGAGGCAGTGCTGTGTGTGTGTGTGTGTGAGAGAGAGAGAGAGAGAGAGAGTGTGTGTGTGTGTGTTTGTGTGTGTGTGTGTGTGTGTGTGTGTGTGTGTGTGTGTACGTGCACGCGTGATGCTTTGAGTACCGTCAGCAGTGATTCCTGAATACAGAGCGCTGCTGGGGATGACACACTCTGCTCTTGAAAAAACACTTCATCTTTACTCAAGTGTTTTGAGAAATTCCCTTTGCTATACACTGCGTTTCCATTTGTATTTGGCTCTAATTGCTGATTTTTTATTCGACATAGTGATTTTTTTCACATGTCAGCATCACACGGTTTAGAATTACTAAGAATTGGTACAAAGAGGAATTTAATATAAACATTTCTTTCCCCTCCCCAGGATTTCCTGTGTAGCAGCAGTAGGTGGTATAAGCGATACCTGCACCCGACAGTGCTCTAGTTTTTCCAGCTGAGACTTCTCTTGTTCCCATTCCACCAATGGACAGTGTTCAGGCTCATCTGCCTTCTGGCATTGCATTTCCTCCAGACGCTGGTTAAGTTCTTGCAACTCTTTCTGATTCTGAGAGTTCTTTTGGTTAAGCTCTGTATTTTCCAAATCCAACTGTTGGTTCCTGGTTTTTAATTCTGAAATCTAAATAAAATTAAAATCAGTTTTAAAAGCTGGTTACCCTACTTCTGCCAAGAGATAGATTTAGAGACTAATTATTTCTTCATCAACATAGATTAGTTACATACATCTGTGTGCATACATGTCCTTAATTACATTTTATCATTTTACATATTTATCAACTTGTAAGAAGTATGAAGTGATACTCATTCAGTTCAATCCAATGTAATAATTTATACTGAATACACATCCCTTTTTCTATATATATAAAAACCCATATACATTTTAAAGTCATAATAAAAATGTATGTAATTTCATGTATCTGGACAATATTTTTTCCAATGTAGAACAATTTACAGACACATATCTTGCCAAGTCAGTGCTTTAGAAACCACCCCATGCTGTAATTTTCGGGGGGGTTTCAGATATTCTACATACACAAAACATTTCATATTTTAGTTACCCACTCCCAAACTGACAGATAACTTTCTTGCATCCTTCCTATTAATAATAGATTTAAAAAATCCTTTTTTGGGTGCTACAATTTCTTTCCTCAAAATGGTCTTCTGAAATACTTATGTATGATAACATTTTGTATTTAGGATCAAATGTTTAGAAGTATAGTTTCTGTGTTACTATATATACATTGTGCTTCTGATAATCTCTGAGCTAGCTTCCTCACAGTGTTACCAACTTAGTTCTACCATGAATATATTTACCTTCTTTGAATACTAGGTGATATAAATCTTTAATTTTTGCTAATGTGTCAGGTGAAAATAAAAGGATCTCCTTCAATTTAAACTTCCCCAGTCACTAATGAAGGTAATCATCTTTTTTTTACAGGTTGCACTCTTTCTGTGACTTGACCAGATCAGTTATCAACTAGGTTTTGTCATTTATTTGTAAGAATACAAAATACAGTTATATTAACACCTTGTCTCAAGAACTGAAGGTACTTTTACCTAGACTGTCTTTTTTTGCCCTGTTCTCCACACATTCTTAAATGACTTTCATCTGCAGGAAACGTACAGGTCGTGAGATTAAACAAATTGGCCTCGAATGGTACAAGTTACCTGAACAAGTCACAATTATGTAAAAGGAGATACCAATTAACTGGAAGTCTCTATCTGTAAATTCTGCTCTTTGGTTTTCAAGCATAGCAAGGAGAGCAGAGGGAATAACTTTAACAATGCCAGTAACTCCATGAGCAGTGGGTTGGGGATGTCAGAGGATGCACCTCCCCAATGCCACTGAGGAAAATGCTTGGTTAGGCACTCATTCTACAAATAATCTCTGCGCAGTAGAAATCTAATTCCTATTCACAAGAACATTCACATAGTTAGAAAATGACATAAACTAGTTTATATATTTTCATGGAACATTTCATAAGAAAAGGAAAAAAAAAATAAAAAGCATTCAAAAAAGGTGGGATTTGTCCAAACACACAGGGTCTGACTTGAAGGAGTTCCTAATGACCAACACGGGGAGAATTTTATCAACAAAATAAAAAATGACAGTATATATAAAATAAATAAAATAATAATAAAATACAGAATAATAGCAAATAGCTTATAGTGAGGAAAAAAAAACTACCTTAGTGTCAGCACCAGGTTCAACTTTCATTTAGAACCTCAGGATTTAAAATGTTACCATCATTAAATATGTCATTCCAGTAGGATATGTTATAAATTTGTATATTTTGAAAAAAAAAAAAAAGAAAATGTCAGAATCCAGAAACATTAGAATATATTATTTCCTTACCTGTTTCTTTAAAACTTCTGCCATCTTCTGGACTGCATTTTTTTCCTGTTTTATAGTTTCTATCTTCTGCCTATAGGTACAATGAAAATATAAAAAATTAGACTTCATAAGTTAAATACTCACAGTCCTTACAAAAATGCCTTCTAAAAATTTAAGCATATGTCTTACCACATTTGTTCCTGAGATTCATCTACTGTCCCTAATTTCAAGTTAGAATTGCTATCTTCTTCATTTAAAGTAGTAATTTCATTTCTCAAAATAGAATTTTCTTCTTGAAGCTTCTCAGATTCATATCTAAAGTACAGAGATTAAAAAAAAAGTTACAACACAGCAGTCATCTGGCTTCTTTGGAGAAATACTTTCTGGTAACTTCCAATAAAATAAGTATTCCAAGCCAGTTAAAAAGAGAAGTCTAAATTAGTAGTCTTTTAGTATTTGGAAATCAAGCTATGACATATTGACTCGTTTCTTTTGGGAAGTAAGAACTTTACTAAAAATGTTAGGAAGTGTGGTTAAAACACTTAGCATGGGAACAGGAGTCAAGATTCAACACTCATTCTGGTTGCTTATTTTCTCAGTGATGAGCAGATTGCTTTGAGTGGATCATTCATCTCAGTCTCAAATCCTACCTGCTTCAAGGAGACACAAACATATTTTGTTGTGCTGTTTTAACTTTAGTTTTAGGCCCAGGATACATGAAGATAAAATTCACTACATAAATTAAAGGGCCATGCTAATACATGTAACAACTATTTACTCTGTGATTTTTAAAAATCTTGTTAGACTCTGATTTTTGAACTAAAAATGGTCTGAAGGGGAAAAACTATATCCAGAACTAAGTTACTGTGTTTTATATCATTAAAATATTCATGATGCTATTCTAGGCTATTTTATAAGTCTTTTATTGAGCTGAACTTGCTGGAAGACTAATGCTTTCATATCTTATAAAACAGAGCATGCAATGATTTGAATTATTTTTTCTTTATCCTACATGCTCATTAAAATCTGATAGCTCTGCAAAAAATCATGTTCTAAGTTTCCCTATTTAGAGAATGTCAGCATATACTTCCAGTGATATAAATGAAAACTATAAGTCATAGAATATATTTTTCAAATATTAGTGTAAGGAGAGAGTTCTTATCTAACACATGAGTTTATCATCCACAAGACACTCAGACTCAAATAGCATTCATCATCAAAAGGAGAACAATTACATTTAACAGAATAATCTATCCATCCAAGTGAAGTGCAAGAAAAGAGTTAGAGAGAACATACACTGATAGATAATGCACACAGTTAAACAGCCAGCACTGGCCACATGGACAGGGCACCCCAACCAGACGGCACTGACTTCCTATGGCGGGGTGGGATGCTTCCTAGGCAAAGTTACTCTACTTGTTAACATGACACAGAAGCAGAGGAAGTCTAATGCAACTGCTGTCTTCCGCAACACAAACAGGTTAGTTTCTCTAGGCAGAGCGAGGAGCGTAAGTTAGATGTGGTGAGGTGCTCTGTGGAATTCCGTGAAGTTTAGAAGGTACATACATTACCTCAGAAGTTCCACCTTTTGCTGCATCTCACTGCATGTGATTTGCAAGTCGTGCATCATTGCCTTCAATTCTTCCTCCTTTTCTCCTTGAGAAGGGACATCTCTTTGCTTCACTAAAGTAGTAACTCTCTCCCTCAGCATCCTAGTTAGCTCTTGGAGTTTTTTTTTCTCCACTTCTAACTCTGCCAGCATGGCCTGACGCTGGAAATGTTTGTCTTGAAAGTGGAGGAGAACAGGGTATTCCTCTAGCATACTTTGGTTCTGTACTCCAGGCTTTTCTTGAAGGCTCGGGATTGCCCTGTGCAGCCTTGCAGTTTCATAAGCTTTTCCTTTTTCCAGGAGTTGTGTATTCTCCTGCTCCAAAAACTGGTTTTCCTGAAAATGTTCTTCTATCATATGGTGAACCTCTGGCACACACTCTTCTAGTGTATGACTGAGTTTAAGTACCTGGCCATCAGGCTGGACTTCCAGGTCATCTGAACTGGCTGCCGATAGGGAGTGACAATCCCCTCTGGGTCCTGCTTGCTCCTGTAGCTTCTCAATCTTACGCTGAAGTCTCGAAACTAAAACGTGCAGCTCCTCATTTTCATTTCTGACCTCGTCATAACTCTTTTCTAGGCTAAGGAATGTCTCCGCCACTTCTTCCACTTTCTTCAGTTCATCCTGCAACCTGAAAACTTCTGACGTGAGTTCTTTGTTGTTTTCTAGCGTTTCATCGTAGCGTGTTTCGATCTCTCGCAGCTCTTCCTGAAGACAGTCATTTTCTCTGTTCGCATCTTCATAGAGCAATTTGTACCTGGAACAAGTCTCAGGGATTCGCTCAAGAACCTTCAGTTTCCGTTTCAGCACAGAAACATCAAAAAGCAGGTCTTGTTTCTTTTCAGAAGCTCGATCACAATCTGCACGCAAGAGCATCAACTGTTCTTGAAGTTGACAAACCTGATTTTTGAGGTCCCAGGTCTCAGTTCTGGTCTCTTCACTGTTTTCAAGCTCAGAAAAACTCTCCATTGATGCCTCAAATTCTTCTACTTTGACCCCCTGTCTCTGGATGGAGCTTGTCCCCGTGCTCCCTACATCCTGCACCTCATCATCCTGTAGCTCACTTAGGACATGTGATGCAGTCACACCAATTTGCTTCATTCTATTATGCCGTATCAAAGGCTCTGTTTGCTCCATGGAATTTCCAAATAACCCATTTATTGGCTCATCTAAGCAAGACAACATAACTGACCCAGGCTCTAATTTTTGCAGCCTCTGCTGCAGTCTAGAAATTTCAGCAGCCATTTTCACATTTTCTTTCACAGCCTGTTCATGAGCTCTCTGCAAGCTTAAGAGGACGTCCCCATTCTCTTCCAGCAGTTGCTCTCCTTGCTCCAGCAGGGACATAGTTCCACCTCCATCCACCTCCTCTCCTCCTATGGGCTGGCAGCCACTATGAAGTGGGGATAGGGGAGAAGCTGCCTGCTGTAGTTCCTTAATCTGATCCTGAAGCCTGGAGATTTCTGTGCTCAACTCAGCCTTCTCTAGCTCTGCTTTCTCCCGTGCCTTCCTGTGGATGCTCTCCATGGCCAGCAGTTTGGTCATCATTCCCTGCCTCTCCTGATCATGCTCCAATTCCAGCCTTTCCATTTCCAGGTGCTGGAGGGCCGGCTGCTTACAGATACCTGCCTGACACTGCCCGTGGTCCCTCAGCTCTCTTGGAGGGCTACTCTTCAGCTCAAAGATCGGGCTGGAGAGCAGGCTCTGCTGACTTTCAGACACGTTTCTCAGCTCTTGCAGGTCTCTGAGTAGCTGCTGTCTCTCAGCCACCAAGCTATTCAAATGTTCTTTGTATGTTTTCTCAAGCATCTCTTTCTCCTGGGTCAGGACCAGAGATGTGGTTTTCTCCCTTTGGAGAGTCTCTTTAAGCCGTTCCTGGGCTTCTGCACATTCCTGGGTGAGCTCATCCTTCTCAAACTCCCACTGTGCTCTCTCCTCCTGCTGTTGCTCCTGTAGGTCCTTCAGCTCCTGGCGGTAGTGGCCCTCCAGGCTGTGCAGAGCACTCTCGCACTGCTCAGTGACTTTCTGACAATCAGCCTGAAACTGGGCTTCTAGCTCACAGGTTCTTCTAGTACACTCAGTTTCCATTTTTTCCCTAAATGTGGTCAACATACAGCATTACTGAAACTGCCACCAATTCTAGATGCACACAAGAATAATTTTCCTATGCAGAAAAGCAGCAAAGCAAACAATAAAAATGGTTTTCATTTCATTTCTCTGTGACCCATTTATACTAAGAAGGGATCTCATTTCTCAGAATAAAGATAGCCATAATTAAAAGAATTACTCACCTTTCTGAATTCAGAGGGAAATTTCAAAAATCAGGCTCAACAGGACATATATATATACATATATATATATGTATATATATATATATATTTCCCCCCACTTCCTGGTCAAACCAGGGGCTCCTCCCAGCATGGCAATATGGCGCTCAGGAGATTATGCAGCGTGGGGGATCAAGCCTGGTACTCCCACTTACAAAACATGCTTCACTCTAACCCTCTGAACTATCGCCCTGTCCCTGCTCATGGAATGTCCACCAAAAACATTAGATGAGGAAATGTTGATTAAGTTAATCCCTAACTTGGGAAATATGTAAGATTCTTTCATCTTAATCAAATCTACCTGGAAGGATATTAGTCACAGAAACCACTCATATGAAACCACTCATATAAGCTTTTGCTTATTTAATAACGCAGTACCACGCTAATCAGGTTATAAAGCACCAAAGCCCATGTTAAGCTCTTATGACCTGGCATTTCTTTTGAGGTAGGTAAACACAAAGTGGAATTTCCTAACTCTGGGAGGAAATGTCACTCTGCCCAGGATCTAGTTGGTAAACAGACCTTCTCAGAGAATGGCATGACTGAACGACACACTTGGGATAATCTTTTCATCATCTTGAACCTTAAAGATACAAGAAATATTTTCTTCCCTAAAAAAAACCCACAAAACCGTGTGTGTGTGTGTGTGTGTGTGTGTGTGTGTGTGTGTGTGTGTATTGGGAGGCACATCAGCAGTGCTCAGGACTTACTCCTGACTCTGTGCTCAGGGATCATACCTGGTGGGATTCAGAGATCTCTGGCACCAGATTGGCAGCATGCAAGGCAAGTGCCTCACCCTATGTACTCACTTCAACCCCTGAAAAAGTTTTTAATAATGTAGTTAACCCATGTGATTTATGCCTACTGACTGTTCAGATCTGTTCTTATTTATTTATTTTAGTTTTGTGGCCACATCAGGCAGTGCTCAGGGCTTACTCCAGACAATGCTCAGGGAACTCTATGTGGTGCTGGGGAGCAAACCCAGGTTGGCTGCTGCAAGGTAAGTGGTTTTCCCTTATTATATTTCTCTGGCTCAAATCTCTTTTAACTGAGTGAAACTTCTGGAGTCTGGGGGAACAGCAATGCACAATGCTCCTTTACCCACTACCCCTCCGTTTTTTTACCTTCTCTCCTGAAGTTCCCTTTGGTGTTTCTCCGAAAGCTCTTTCCGCAACTCCTCTTTCTCATGAGCGTGCTTCTCTGCCAGGCTTTTCAGCTGCTGCTGATGCTGCTGCTCTAGTTCCTGAGTCAAGTCCCTCACCTTCTCTGCCGTCCAAGTGCCGTTTTGAAGAAGTCCATCCCTCTCTCTGTTAAATTTGTCCTCTGCCTGCTCCAGTCGGGCCTGGAGCTCCTGCTCGTGTTGCAGCCTCAGTGTCTCCTGCAGGTGTGTCTTCTCCTCCTCACACTTCACCTGCAGTTCTTTTTTCTCTGCCTCATGCCTGCAAGCTGTCAAATGTTCTGCCTCCCTGAGCATTGCTGCCTGCCCCTGAAGTTCTGAAATTTCATTTTTAAGGTCACTTATTTGCTTTTCCAATGTGTGTGCTTCGCTCTCATACTTTTGCTTCATGTTCTCCTGCTTTTCTTCACAGCGCACCTTGGCTTCCTCTAGCTGCTTCTCATAGTGGTGTACCTGAAGGCAGAAAGCACAAGCATTACAACTTAAGGTCCCACGAAAGCAATGCAGCTGGGATGTAAGGACTTTTCTCTTACGAAGATACTGTCCTCAGTTCCCTACCCCCTTTATAAATTCAAAACATTTAAAAGAAAAAAGGTTAAATTTTTTACTTGAATTTTATTTAAAATAAAAAATTAAAAAATTTTAATTCGAAAACTCATTAAGCCAGGCATGGTTTGATCTCCTTTCTATCTTGGTTGCATCTTATTAGTTTCTGAACAACTGTATTAAAACTAGCCCTTCTGATAGATGCTTTTGTCTCTCCAAGCAGCCTCTCCAACTTTAAACTTAAGCTCATAATTAAATTAAAATATTTACTGAACATCCATCTCATACACTCTAGGACTAGTAGAGACACAAAGCTGTGTCAGACACAGTCCCTGCCATCAAGGAAAGACCAGTCCAGGCAGGTTATGAGAAGAACAAAGAAGAATAATAAAATAGTAAGACAAGTATTTAAAAGACAGCTGAGCATAACCCAGGGCTTCAGAGGAGGACAGAAATCACATTTGGTGTGGGGAATTCAGGAATGAGTTTAGGTAATAGGTGGCATTTGAGGTAGACTCTGAGGAGTATAGTCTGAGCATAAGAGGACACTGATTGATGAAGAACAGCACATTACCTGGTTTGGCTTATTTTTGTTTTACTTTTATTAAGATTTTTTTTAACAAGTTAGAAACAATATAGTTGCCTTCAAATATCATGCTTGCTAATGCTGAAGATATTACACTGAACAGAAACTCCCCTGAGAGGTAAACTCCTCAAACCGAGTGCTCCTGAGGAAGCAGTTCTGAGTGCTATCACACTATGTTCTGAGATAAAGACTATCATTGCAATGCCCACCTACAAAAGCTTATCAGTGCGCGAAGACTCTCAAAGACCAGGACTGAGAGAGGGACTTACTTTGTCTTCAAGCTCTAGTCTTAGACGACATAAGTCCCTGTGGTGCTGCTCCTTCATCTGTTCGATGACCAGCTCCGCCTCAATGCTCATCGTCACAGGGTTGCATTCTTCAGAACCAAGGCCTGAAAATACATGGGAGCCCCAGAGCCTGTAGCAGGTTCTTTCAAAAACACAACTATGCAGGGACAGACAGTTTAACTAGGGAATTGTTTTCTGCCTCCGTGGCTGTTGATCTACTCAGGAGCAACATTAAGCCAAGAGGTCTATTCTATTTTCAAATATTAGGAGAACACCAAAAAAGAAGGTGAATAAATCCTTTTAAAAATTAATTTTTATTTTTTATTAAAGATTTATTTATTTTGTTTTGTATTGGGGCCACACCTCATGGTACTCAGGGATTACTCCTGGCTCTCCACTCAGAAATTACTCCTGGCAGTACTCAGAGGACCATAGGGGATGCCAGTGATCAAACCCGGTTCAGTCGCATGCAAGGAAAGTACCCTACCCACTGTACTATCTCTGTAGGTCCAAAAAGTGAATAAATTCTTTGATGTCCATGCCATTTGCCACTTGTCATATCCATATTTCAAACAACAGGTGGCGTAGATGTGGAACTTGCTGATAAAGGTAATCTCTTAATGAAAATCTCTTAATGAAATGTTTACATGTGTGGCTGTCTGTGCTGAGGAAGAGTTTGAACTGTTATGCTTATGAAAAAATCAGACATAAATGAGGAAAACTATGTATTTATTGTGCAGAATGCCTTCTGACTGTTCAAATCTGTTTATATTTCTTTATCTTCATTGAAATTCTCACCTCATTCATAAGCTCACCTCTTAAACCATCCAGGATAATGAGATTAAAGGTTAAAAAGAAGGAGGAAAAATATGAATAACTAGGGGCTAAGCTAGCAAAAGACAAAATGATTATGTCTAGTTCTCAGGAGAATTCCCTTTCGTCAGGAGACCTCCTGAATTGCTTTTCCTATGGGGGCATACGAGCAAGTGTTCGGGGCTTACTCCTAGCTTTATACCACATGGCCATAAATGGCTCCTCTTAGAGGAAAATATAGTTTATTCTTAGATGTGATACCAAAAGCACAAGCACCACGATATACAAAATATGTTTTACAGTAGAGTAATCCTATTCTGAAGTAGTTTGGTCAAACCAACCATCTTCTGGCTATGCAGCAAATACTGATTGGCAATTAGCAGGGGAGAAATGTGGCAGGAAATTAAGTTACCAGCACACAGCTGTTGTGTTTTCAGGAATGAACTTCTTGGGGGTCACACTAACCAAAACATCACCAGATGATTGGGTGCTATCATACAAATTTCTTGTAGTATAGGTAAGTATTCACCTTAAATTATCAGTTAAATTGTTTTAAAGAGGGCATGGTTTAGGAATACAAATGTGAGCAGTGTGAAGGGAAAACTCTCATCTCATCCATATGGACTCTGCTCTTAAACTATCCAGGATAATGAAATGAAAGATTAAAAGGAAAGGGGAAAAACATGAATAACGTGGAGGCTAAGCAGCAAAAGACAAAATAATTGTGTCTAGTACTTTGAAGAGTTCTCTTTAGTCAGGGGACCTCCTGAATTGCTTTTCCTATGGGGACACACAAGCAGATGGGGAAAGGGGCATTAAATTTGGACCTGGGGTTGACAGTCTTGTTTAGACCTTTCTCTCATGAAGAGTATCATACCCCCAGCTGTAAAGTGACACCTAGGGTAAAAAAAAAATATCACCCCAAGATGCTTCAGCTTCACAAACCTATGAGGAAAATAAATATCCAAATCACAGGATCAACAACATGGAAATCACGAGACCCCAAACTTTAATAACAAAACATAAAAGATGCCTGTCAAGATGGTGCATGGGGCTGGGGGGGGGGGGGGGTAGAAGAGGGAACATGAGAACACTGGTGGAGTGAAGTTACACCGATGGCAGGAAAGGTGCTGGAACATTGTATGTCAAAACCCCCCAGCAGGGGGCTGGAGCAATAGCACAGCAGGTAGGGCATTTGCCTTGCACGCGGCCAATCCAGGTTCGATTCCCAGCATCCCATAGGGTCCCCTGAGCACTGCCATGGGTAATTCCAGAGTGCAGAGCCAGGAGTAAACCCTGTGAATTGCCAGGCATGGCCCAAAAAAACAAACAAAAAAAAAGCCCAGCTATGAATACCCTTTTATCTCACATTGCTTTCATAAAATAAAACTTGAAGGAAAAAAAAGAAAAAGAAAATGTTTCCATTCTAATAATGAAAATAAAACCATTTTATTAGCTATAGGGAAAAACAGAAAAACTGAGATGCATCATGTTATTGGTTGGGTTCCATCCTTAGTCTCTAGTAAGGCGATATAGATTGAGAGAGAAGAAATGCCTTAACGCCTCTTCTTATCTCCACCTCAACATCTCATTTATTCTAGAATAAAAAGGTGAGGAGAGGGGCTTGAGTGATAGTACAGTCAATAGGGCGTTTGCCTTGCATGCATATGGTCCCATATGGTCCCCCATGTACCACCAGAAGTAATTCCTGAGTTCAGAGCCAGAAGTAAAACCTGTGTGGGTGTGGTCAAAAAAGCAAAAAATTAAAAAAATTTAAAAAAAATTTTAAAAAAAGGTGAGGAGAATAAATAACCCTTAACGGACCAGAAGGTAGGGCACTTGCCTTGCATGTGGCCAACCCTAGTTTGAATCCCTGGTATTACATATAGTCCCCTAGGCACCATTAGGAATGATCCCTGAACACTGCCAGGCGTGGTCCCCAAATCCAAACACAAACAAACGTGTCAACAACTCTTTTGTTCCAGGTGGCAGTGGAGAAAATGATTCATAACAGAAGAACTGATCATGATTCCTTTCTGATACTCACTTTCAGTTTGGGGCAGGAAAGAGGCTACCAAAAGGCTATAATAGGAGCGGACAGTGAATGTAGGAAGTCTCCCAAGCAATTCTGCCTCCACCCTGACGAGTTCAAAATCTTCTTCAGCCATGCCCCTTCATCCTCTCTGCAGTTCTGCAGAGGCAGTGCAGACAACTAGCAGAGCCAGCATCAAAAAAACCAAATCCTGTAGTTTCTGGCAGGTCTATCCTCTGAAACCAAACTAATTAGCCCTTTTAGAAAGGGAGGGTTCAGCAACTGCTCAGTGTCCGAATGCTACCAAGGTCTGCATTCTCATACTTGTGACCAGTTGGTTCTTAAAAAAATAAATTAAATTCCTTGTGGTTTGATTTTTCCACTCCCTAGTTGGTGCATATCAAAATCAGATGGAAATAGTCTCATGAAGACTTTAAGGACAAATTTAAAATGAAAACAGTATTTCAAAGATTAAAAAAAATTTTGGTTGCAAATTTTATATTCAACCATGGCTCTAAAACGAGCAAAGGAGACCCTGAAAAGATGATGTTTGAATGGCTTACCTTGGTCAGGCTCAAGGCAACCACTGTTAATATCAAGTTCTTCTGACAAAGAGTTCTTCAAGGGAAGTCTGAACATTTTGCCTTGTGTACGATATTCTTCCAGCTCAGACTGGAGTTCATCTACTTGATCTTGTAATACCTGAGGTTGGAACCCACAGACGTCTTAGATGTGACACCAAAAGCACAAGCAACAACAGAAAAACTCAATAAATTAGACATCATCAAAGTAAAAAAGTTACTATCTGAAAAGATTCCATCAAGAATGCAAAACAACTTTTTCAGGTGAGGTCACTGGTTTGGTACCCTACACTAGAGAGAAGTAAAATAATAATAATAATAATAAAACCTCACAAACTGGAAAAACTGGCATTTAAAATTATATATCCAATAAGGGACTCATAGCTAAGATGCTATAATAGCTTAAGTAAAAAATTTTTATAACTCATTAATAAAAAGACTGAAAATTTGCTAGAATAGTAAAAATGACTAAAAATACACTAAAAATTGGCAGAGGGAACCAAAGAGATAGTATCAAGTTAAGGGTACAGCACTGGCACTGCATGGTCCCCCAGCATTGTTGGGTGAAGACCATTTGGGAGTGCTCCACCCCCAAGGCCCCCAAAACTGACAAAAACTCTCAGTAGACATTTCTGCAAAGACGATACACTTGTAAGGAAATGAAAAAAATCTCAAGACTGCTAGCCATCAAGAAAAAAAATGTCACAAGCAATTCCTATCTCTGAAGAGGACTGGAATCAAAAGCACAGTTACAACTGTTCGTGAGGATGTGAAAAAATGGGAAATTTCATATTGGTGGGCATGTAAAGTGGTTTAAACCCCTTAAAAAAAGGTTCACAGTTTCTCCAAGGTTAGACATATGGTGAACATATGACACAGAAACTTCATCCCTAGGTACATCACCAAGAGAAATGAAAATGACTGCCCACACAAAGCTTCATATAAATGTTCATGATATAATGGTTAAATATGCACCAACTAATGAGTGGATAAATAAAATGTGCTAAAGTCACATGATGGAATATTATCCAGCAAGGGAAAAAAAGAAGTACTGATATTTGTTGCAACATAAATGAAATAAGAAAACATTAGACTAAGTGAAGGGAGACAGTCACAAATGACCACACATTGCGTGACAATATGACATGAAATAATGTGTGACTCCATGTATATAAAATATCAAAAAGAGGCAAATCTCTTAGAGAATATCTTGAGACAGGAGGTTAGGGAGAGAAATATTTCAGCTACACAGAGTGAGAGTTTCTTCAGGGGGTCGTGAAAATGTCCTACAAATTTATTATAGTGCCTAATTATGTGATATACTAAAAGACAACAGATTGTACTTTAAATGGAGGGAATTGTATGCAAAGCTATTAAGAAATAAATAAGTGGGACATTTAGAAAATTTTTAGAGACTGTTGGCAGATTTCACTGAGAAATCATTAACTTTAAAGACATTTGAGGGGCTGGAGCAACAGCAAATTGGGTAGGGCATTTGCCTTGCATGCGGCCAACCCGGGTTCAATTCCCAGCGTCCCTTATGGTCCCCTGAGCACTGCCAGGGGTAATTCCTGAGTGCAGAGCCAGGAGTAACCCCTGTGTATTGCCGGGAGTTACCCAAAAAGCAAAAAAAAAAAAAAGACATCTGAAGAAAACACCTCTACTTGATTAGTCAAGAACCAAAACTTAATTGTGAATGTGGCAAAAATATTGTATTTCTTTTCTCAAAAAAAAGAAATATTGTATTTCTTTTCCTAAAAAAAGAAATATTGTATTTCTTTTCCTTTAAAAGAAAGGCTATGCAGCAACCTCATAAAAAGAGGAAGGCTTTTCTCATCTGTGTATAATTTTTTCTCTAAAGCATTTTGAACAGTTAAGCTTACCTTGTAAAATACTTTGTGGTTTATGGAAAATCAAAATTGCTGAGTTTAGAGTTATTATTTTTTTAAATCAAAGATTTCTATTATTCATAAGTATGTTTGTGTGTCTCTGGGGAAAAAAACCAACACAACCACAGAACAAAAGCAAACTACATCAGATTACGACTCTGCAATATTCAATTAGGAAAGGTCGATTTCAAAATGCATGCACCAACATGACCGTACATGCTTCCTCTCAGAGGAAAATATAGTTGTTATTCCAAGCACTGGCAATTTCTTATCTGAATAAAGCATGCTTTATTTAGTTTGCTTGACTTCCCAATAGCTCAGAATACCTAAGTAACAATAACTATCATTCGTGCTCAATGCTCACAAGGGCCAGGGTTCTGTTCAAAGCATGGGACATAATCACTCACTGAATTGGAAATGAAGCAGCAGGATGGAAACTAGACACGTCTATCCTCACTAAGTCCTTGCAGTCACTTACCCTGCACTGTTGCTCATATTCATTTCTCATCTGTGTCAGCCTCTCTTCTTGCAGAAAGAATTCAGCACTGCTGGGATCAAGGTCACCAAACTAGAAAAGGAAAAGGCCAAAGCTGTCATTTTCCCCAAGTGCCTCATTTGGCCTATCGCATACCAAAAGCCCTGGTATTCACTCAGTCTCTTGAATATGAAAGGAATGTGGCATTTAAGCACAGACACCACCAACCAGATAATGAGAAGAACTTACTAGAGTGATGTGTTCAACTAAGTCAGGGATGGTTTCTCAGAGCCCCTTACTGTTTATCTCATACCCCACCCAGTAAGTTATATTATTGCAGTAATGGTTCTCTCTTAAGGTACCAAAATACAGGAAATCTTTACTGCCTTGACATTACTGGATTGTTTTTTTTTTTTTTTTAACAAATATGAGGGTTGCAGCAACCCTGCTTCAAGCAAGTAGATGAATATCATTTTTCCAATGACATATGCTCACTTCCTTGTCCCATAAAAATTTAATTAAGCTACGAACACTAAGTTTTTAGACATAATGCCATTAAACACCCAAGAGACTGCACTACAGATATAACTTTTGTATACACTTAGAAATAAATTTCATAAGACTAACTTATTGCGATATTCACTTCACTGCAGCAGTCTGGAACCAAACTAAACCCCAATATCTCTGAATGGTGCCTGTAATTTCTCTAATGGGAATTTGAGTGGAACTGTTTCTGTTCTTTGGAATAAAGTGCACTTTGTGCTACAAATCAGCTAATCAAGTTACAGAGATTTACCTTTTCTGCTAATACATTTTCCAGATTTCGCTGAAGTTTATTTGTCAGATTTTCATACTCTGCCAATTTCTCTGCATTTTCCAGAAGCTCATTTTCTAGGCGGGTGTTTTCCTGAAGACATTTGTAGAAATTAAATGTGGCACCAATTAAAAAGTAAGCAAATGATTGTACATGTTATTCAGTCATTTCTATGGATTGAGAAAACATGCACCTATTAAAAGCTGCAGATTAAATAGGCAAAAGTATTTTAATATTTTTATTGACATTTATCTTATGGGCTGGAGCGACAGCACAGCGGGTAGGGCGTTTGCCTGGCACATGGTCAACCCGGGTTTGATTCCTCCATGCCTCTCGAAGAGCCCACCAAGCTACTGAGAGTATCCGGCCCATACGGCAGTCTGGTAAGCCCCCAATGGCGTATTCGATATATCAAAAACAGTAACAACAAGTCTCACAATGGAGACGTTACTGGTGCCCGCTTGAGCAAATTGATGAACAATGGGAGGACAGTGCTACAGTGCTATCTTAAGCCCAAAGACTATTTCACTTTTCCCCTACAGAATTCTGCAGTCTATTATAGTAGCTGCTAACAAGTTGCCTATGGCTATCAAGCACTTGAACTTTGTTTACTAAAAACTGAGATATGTTACAAGTTTAATATATTCACCAGATTTTGTAGTACAAAAATTGTAAATAACACAATAAAAATATTGCATGTTGATTACATCTCTAATACTATAATACTTTATAGATACAGGATTAAATAAAATACTGCGAAAATTAATTTCACCTGACTACATGGAAAGCATTATGCTAAGCGAAATGAGTCAGAAGGAGAGGGACAGACACAGAAAGATTGCATTCATCTGGGGAATATAAAGTAACAAATTGGGAGACTAACACCCAAGAATAGCCGAGATAAGTACCAAGAGGTTCACTCCATGGCTTAGAGGCCAGCCGCACATGCTGAGGGAGAAGGCAGCTCAGATAGAGAGGGGAGCACCGAGTAAAGGGTGTTGGGAGTACCCTCCCAGGATGAGAGATGCATGCTGAAAATAGACTATAGACTGAACATGATAGTCACTCAATGCATTTTTTGCAACCCACAGCACCCAAAAGGAGAGAGAGAACAAAGGGGAATGCCCTGCCACAGGGGTAGGGTGGTATGGGGGGTTGGGGGGTGGTAGGAATGCTGGGAACATTGGAGGTGGGGAATGGGCACCAGCGGAGGATAGATACTCAATCACTGTATGCCTGAAACCCCAAGCGCAAAGATTTGTGAGTCCACAACTGTACCTCATGGTGTTTCACTGATAAAAATTTTTTTAAAAAATTAATTTTACCTGTTTTTTTTCCTTTTTTTTTTTGGTTGGGGGTGGGGAGTCTTGGGCCATATCTGGCAGAGCTCAGGGTGCAATTATTCTCAACTAGTCACTTGGGGGTTTCTCCTGGTGGTGCCCGGATAACATTGCAGTGCTGGGGATTGAATCTGGGCTTTCTGTATGCACAGCTGAATCCATCAATCTCCCTAGCCCCTCTTCTTTTTTTTTCTTTTTGGGTCACACCTGTCGATGCATAGGGGTTACTCCTGACTCTTCACTCAGGAATTACTCCTGGCGGTGCTCAGGGGACCATATGGGATGCTGGGAATTGAACCCGGGTCGGCCGCGTGCAAGGCAAACGCCCTACCCGCTGTGTGATTGCTCCAGCCCCAGCCCCTCTTCTTAATTTTCAATATGGCGAGTAGAAGAATTCCAAAATTAGGGCCAGAACAATAGTACAGCAAGTAGTACCTGGCATGCAGACAACCGGGGTTCAATTGCCGGCATCCCATATAGTCCTCTGAACCCCACCAGGAGTGATTCCTGAGTTCCTGAATAACCCCTGAGTATCTCTGGGTGTGACCCAAAAAGCCAAAAAAAAAAAAATTCCAAAATTAAATTTTATTTAGTAAAGATATAGTTTGGTTTATATATAATTTACAATTTTATTCTGATTTAAAGATATAAGAGCCATACAAACAGGTTATTATATGATTTATATGGTTTCCATTATTCATGTTTAAATTATTACAATAAAAATTATTTTAATTATTACACAAACTGAAATTCAGTGTTTTTTTGTGATTATAATACTTAAAAGAGTTTTTAACACACACATAAATATATATATATATAAACATATATATATATATTTTTTTAAAGCAGCAACAAGCATAAAGGGCCAGGTAAATTGTAGAGCAGGTAAAGAGCTAGCCTTGTATACAGCCTGCCAGATTCAGTCCTCAGCACCCCATATGGTTGCCCAAGCACGGCTAGGAGTGAGCCCTAAGCAAAGAGACAGGAGTAAGCCCTGAACACCAATGGTGTGGTCCAAAAAATAAAATGAAATAAACCAAACCATAAAACTACACACACATGTATTTGGCATATTTTCTATTCCAATGTTAAAGACTGACTGGAAGAACATTATTTTCAAAGTACATTTTTGCCTGAAGAATATAGAGCTGGTATATTTTTAATTCTAGTTTATACCCTCATATAGCAAAAATAAATAAATATATGATTTTTTTTTAAAAAGTTCCTTTTTCTCAAATGCCATTCTCTAACTCTGTGGGCAGGAGCTGAGGCCATCTGCTGAGAATAAGGGGTTGAAGGCAGGGAAGGGAGAGGGCATCAGCCAGGTGCCAAATAGCCGAGGCCCCTGTGCCACTTCATGATGGTCAAAAAGCACAACACACAGTATTTAACACAGTGGGCAAACCAAATGCCTAGCAACCCCTGAGATTCAGGTCTTGTGATTCAGTCTGTGGGCAGAATGAAGGAATAGCAAACTCTTGCAGAGATGCAGTTTTCCACGTGGTTCCCAGAAGGAACACAGTGATTACCTTTAAAGAGAGGGCCAGGCGGTCCCGGACATAGTTCTCTTCTGTTTTGGCCTTTTCAATTTCCTGCTCAAGTTCTACACGCTGCTTGCCCACCTGTTGCAGGATCTGCTCTCTCTCTTTTTTGAGTTCATTCTTTAAGGCTGCTATGCGTTCTTTGTACTCCTCATCTAGTTTCCTGTGAGGAGGAAAGATGTCCCTTGAGAGTTTTCTATACATCTACCAAAGATGGAAGCATTGAATTACAGAGTTGGACAGCTCTTTTGAGAGAGTATCCAATGATTCCTGCTTTCCTGTAGCCATGTCTACATGTAAATCCTGCCATCCTGGTGTGGCCACATGATCAGGCTGGTCCCCAGCCAGGATGGTGGGAGAGAAGGACCTGGCCCTTTCAGCCTACCTGAGGTTGTATTCATTCCGACGCTCGATGGCTGCGTGATGATCATCCACCTCTGATGCCATTAGAGATTTGAGTTTCTCAGCCTTGTCTAGATCTGACCGTAGCTTCTCTTTTTCTCTGACCATTTGATCAACTCGCTCCCTAAAATAAAATAATAAATCCAGTTAAAGAGAAACTTTTTAAAAAAATGTTCTTGAACCACTGTGAGATAGTTACAAGCTTTCACGTTTGGGTTATAATCACACAATGATCAAACACTCATCCCTCCACCAGTGCACATTCCCCACCACCAATATCCTTGGTATACCCCCCCTTCCAACCTTTCCCCTGCCTTAATGGCAGGCAATATTCCCCATACCCTCTCTCTACTTTTGGGCATTATGGTTTGCAATACAGACACTGAGAGATCATCATGTTTGGTCCATTATTTACTTTCCGCACACATCTCCCATCCCGACAGATTCCTCAAGCCATCATTTTCTGAGTGATCCCTTCTCTATTCCAGCTGCCTTCTTTCTCCCCTTTGCTCATAAGGCAGGCTTCCAGGTATGGAGCAATCTACCTGTCCCGTATATCTACCATCCTTCGGTGTCAGCCACATGTTATGTTTATACTCCACAAATGAGTGCAGTCCTTCTATGTCTGTTCCTCTCTGACTCATTTCACTTAACATGATACTCTCCATATCTATCCATTTATAAGCAAAGTTCATGACTTTATCTTTCCTGACAGCTGCATAGTATTCCATTGTGTATTATTTTTTAAAAGAAGAGAAAATTTTTTAAAGCAACAAAATCTCTAATTCAATTTACTTCAACACAAAACCAAAATCAAGATAATCTGGGCTAGAGTACTCTTCAGTACTCGCGGTAGGGTGCTCTCCTTACATGCATTTAACACAGGTTCAATCCCTGGAATCCCATATGTTCCCCTGGGCACCATCACGAGTAATTTCTGAGTGCAAGGCCAGGAGTAAGCCCTGATCATTGTCAGGTATGGCCCAAAAACAAAAGCAAAAAACAAGCAAAAAAATCAAAACAACCCTTTCAAAACAACAAGACAACACAACTCTCCTCAAAGGCTTATGTGCAGATCTAAGCTCTACTTCATTCTCAGTTTAGGGAAGATTTATGCAGTAGAAAGATGATAGGAGTGAGAGAGAATGAAGATTGATTTTATAGGCATTGCAGGAATGACTTGCTGAACAGGTAGGTGAAGGGATAGAACAAGAGAATATGTGCTCAACTCACAGCAAATGCCTGATCTCAGCCTTAAAGCTGGCTAGAGCTGCCTGGTGGATGCTGTTCTTGGTAACCAAAAGCTCATTTTCAAGAGCCAGAGTTAATTCTGTCAAGTTGACATTTCCATCGAGGCTGAAATCCAAGGCCTAGAAAATAAGTTCAAGATAATCACAAGTCCTATCTTCTGAAAGCTAGAAATGTAAAGGCTTATAAATTCAGAGAACAGAATTTAAAGTCTGGAAACTAGAGGCTTAAGAATAATCTTCAGTCTAGAACATAAACTAAGTTGTATCAAAGAAGAATCATAATACGGTTATTTGCATGTTTTTTTTTTTAAAAAAACTACTCTTTGCCACCATAAACAGAGGGTATAACTTATCTTCACCAACAAAAGGTCAGCTAAGAATAAGTTTCCTGCCAATACTTTTGGACAGCATAGACACTTGATTGATAGCACAGCGGTAGGGCGTTTGCCTTGCGCGCAGCCAGCCGGGCCAAGCCGGGTTCGATTCCTCCACCTGGCAAACTACCGAGAGTATCTCGCCTGTGCGCCAAAGCCTGGCAAGCTACCCATGACGTATTCAATATGCCAAACACAGTAACAACAAGTCTCAAAATGGAGACGTTACTGGGCCCACTCAAGCAAATCGATAAACAACAGGAGGACATACACTTGATTAAAAGTGATTTGAGAAATTGCCCCTTATACTGGGATCCAGTGAAAAGGAAAAAATATATACTAAATTTTTTTGAATAATAAAATAAAATTACAAAATTATTGGCACTGAAAGGGGCACATATTCTACTTCATATCCCACCTTTTGGAGTAATTCTTTTCTTTTGCTTTATGAACCTCCCTTTTCTCGCTTTTCTTTCACTTTTCCTAAATAAAAGCTATTTCACCTGGGAAACAAACCCCTTCCCCAATTTGCTGTTTCTCTGCCATACCTTCAGGATCTCCTGGCTATTCTCAATGCCCTCTTCCTGCCAGGTGTCCAGGATTCTCTCCACTGATGCACAGCCCATGCCATCATCCAGGCAAGAGAAGACCCGAAAGCCAAAGTTACTCGTCATCGCCAGTGGGGTTGTTGTACGTCTCCCACTCTCATCAAAAGACTGGAAGAAGAGAGACATAAGCAAGTGCAGGCATTTTAACAAAACTGCTGGTCAAGATTGAATATGGCCGCTCAGTCTTGGCCACAGTGGGCAGAAAGCATGTTCCTCTAATTTGCACTGCTCGAAAAATAAGCCATACAGTTCTTTTTATCTCCCTTTCCCAAGTGAGTCAAGGGTACAAAGCTTATAAAAAAAAAACAATTACTCTGGTACTGAGTTTCCTGCCATACATGGTCTCTACTTAATACCAGGTTTCTTCTAACCCAGAGCTAACATTAAGAGGCTTAATTAGTGGTGTTCCCACTATGTAATTTATGGTCATTTCTTGAAACCAACTTTTCCTTCCCAATGCTTTAGTTTTTCTTTCTCTGCATCCTTCTTTTCCCTTTAGCATTTTCTGCAGACAACAGATTCTAAGACATTATTCAAACATATTCTCACAAAGAAACTACTTCCTATTTATTTCTTACCTGCATGGAGAGGTGCCTTTTCAATTGTCTATAAGGAGTAGATGCTGACGGTGTAAGGGATTTCCCATTTTTAAACAGACCATAAAAAAAATCTTCTACACTCATTGTACCATCAGGATTAAGATTATTAAAGACTTCTTCGAGCATCTAGAAGAGATTAACAACCATTTTAACTCTTTCACTGAAAATAATGTAGGGCCCAAAATACACTCTGGCCAAAGCAATTGGCATCACTGTTGATCTCCGGACTGCTGAAATACATGTCCTCATTCTCACTTCCCTGAATTCATTTTCCTTCACAGTACAATGTCCCCAGACAAATTTAATAAAAGTCCATTTTCAGCATTTTATAAACTTGTGCAACTTATCCAATGATTTTTCTTTTACTCATATTTTTAGAATAGGTGCTTTTTAATTAGCCTTACAAATGAAGTAATTTCATAAAAATTTACAGATATTATCAATGCTGCAAAAGCTGGACATTATACCATTTTTCTGTGGTGACTGCGACATTTTGCTTATACTGAATTTTAAAAATTGGCATGTGAGAACAACAGAATTGGCCTAGGACAGACTGCAATGATCTAATGAGCATTTGGGTGTGAAACTTTCGATTTGGGATTTAGAACCTTACTTGGAACAACACTGTAAGATGAGTAGTTGCTCTAAGTTTTCAGCAAAGGAAAAATGAAGACTGAATGAAAAGGATTTTTGTTGCTATTATTTTGGGGACCACACCCAGTGGTATTCAGTTCATGGTTCTGTGCTCAGGGATCACACCTGGAGTTGCTCGGGGATCCATATACCGTTCTGGGGATCCAAGTGGGGTCAGCTGTGTGCCAGGCAAGCACCTTACCCCCAACAACAAAGGCTCAAGTGGGCTCAATTTCCCCTCTTTCTTTTTTACGTGATTAAATCCAAAATCACTTTCAGTTGCAAATTTGTTTCTGCCCAGATACAAACTGGGGATCTTTCATATGTTAGACAAACATGATAACCATCATATTATGGGGCTCTGCAGCTGAAAGGATTTTATGAGTGTGCAATAGAGTAATGATCACAAACCCAAACTCCAGAAAAGCAAGGTGATAAAAAGCCTAGCTACATAAACTGTGACCCATAAGAATGCAGGGGAATCACAAAAAAATTTTTAAATGTTTTAAAATGAATCCAGGATTTACTATCAGTAAATTTCATTTGTATACCTAGTTACCCAGGGACATGTAAAAATTTCATGGGGAATATGGTGGAGGATCTGATGTTGGAATCTTTGTATGCATTGACACCCTAGTGTGAACAATATCACGGTGCCTCAAATAAATTAAAACAACTTACTGGGCAAAAGGGATAGTGAGTGGAAAGAGTTTAAGATGCTTTGATATGAAGGAATGAGACAAGACAGCATAGCCTCAGGGGTGGAGAACCTTTTTCCCACCAAAAGCCATCTGGAAAATTGTAACATTTGCAGGTAGATGGCTGTGGGCAGATGACAAAAGCCAAATGTGTGTGTTCCATCGTGCACTATGGCCAGACCCCATTATTTCACAGGCCTTTTATGCTTCCCACCTCTGAAAGTGGTCCGGAAGTAGAACCACTGCAAGCAGTGAAATGAACATAAGTGTGTACTCTGTCAAAAGAGGCTAGCCACTTCCCACCGTGACAAAACAAATGCCAATCTTCTGATGTTTAGAAAAATCTCCAGATTTTAAAAAGTAAAATGTTTTGAAATTTTGGGCAGGCAAAGCAAAACAGCCCTTGAATATTACTTGCCAATGAGATGAGAGCGACAGCCGCCCAACCTATCTATGGCTGTCCTTGTTTCTGCAAAGAGAAGTATCACCATAAAACAGTGCATCTGATTCCCCTTCATGGGAATGGCCACAAGAAACAGTGATCTCATTTTCTTTATCTCTAAAATGAGGGGCTGACTAAATTCAAAATTGCTTTCAGTTGTAAAGTTCTGGAACTCCAAATTCTATGCCGATGAGATAATTTTGAACTCTTAACTCCACTGGTCTAGAGTGCTGATTTTTTTTTAAAGGAAATATACTAAGTGAAAACAATATTCAATAGGCACCCTCATTTGAGAGGAAAAATAACTAAATGGGCTATTTCTTTTCCAGAGTTGTGGAAACTCCACCACTAAAGAAAATGCAACTTGCCTCAAAAGGCTACAGAACTGTTTTCAGATAATAATCCAAGTTTGTGTAATATTACTTAACACAAACAACCAAAAGTTCTACATAGTACACTGAATTGTAATTTAGGAGGGTGAATTAAATTTTATGACTCAAAAGTCACCACTGAAAAATAAATCACTGAGCCATTAAAAATGTAATTGAAGGGTATATTACAGTCACATATAAAAGAGAAAGGGGGAAAATACTTTTTGAAAGACACACTAAGTGGAAACTATGATGAAATAACTCTTTCTGACTTAGGAAAATAATAACACTTATCTCCTAGGCAAAAAAAGCATGTCTTCAAATATAGAGGTGGGAGAGACTGTACAGGGTAAGGGGCTTGCCTTCTGCCCTGCTCCTCCAAATCAAATACCTTTAAAATAAAAGCTTTCCAAGGCTACAACTCTAAATCTAAACTCTAAGGTGTTTAAGATCATTGTTTTACATTCTCTGAACATCTTCAAATGTTTTGTTTTGTCTTTTGGCCATATCCAGCATTGCTCATTGGTGAATGAGCTCAAGAGTTTTCAAAGACAGGCATCTTTTTGTGGCTATCTCTCACTCGGCATTCCTCGCCCAATCATGGAGGTGCTGAACCAGTCGATCGTATTCCTCATCAATGTTGTCAACAACGGCATCTTTCAGTGTTGCCGCAGTAGTGCCAAAGAGCTCCCAGTTGGTGGTCATTCTGGGAGTTCTCTTTTTAACCTCAGCAGCCCTTTCTCCCAGTTCTTTGAAGTAGAATTTTGCACGAAGGAGATGGTGGTCCGATCCCATCTGGAATTTTGGGACAACAGTGACATCGGTCAGGCAAAACCGTTGACTGAATATTATGTGGTTAATTACGTTGTGGAACCGTCCACCGGGAGACTAACATGTCCAACGTTTAGATTCGGCCTTCTGAAACTGTGAGTTACTATGGATGGTCTTGGTCGACATGATGAACTCAGACAGTCTCTCACCCTGTTCGTTCCATTGTAAGCCATAGGTCCCAATGTGGAGTTCTTCGGCTGATCTTCTCAGTCCTATCTTGGCATTAAAATCACTGACAATGATCTTGTAAAAGATGTATATAACTTCTTTATAGAACTTCTCCAGCTCCATGTAGAACTTCTCAATTTCCCCTTCATCGTAATTGGATGTTGGTGCATAGACAATGAAGATAGAAAGTGCCGGCAGTGAGCCACATCTATTCAAATGTAATCGTCCAATTCGGGTTATCTTGAGCTCATTTGCCAATGTGGCTTGGCGCAAACCTCAGGCAATCGCAAGCAACTGTCTGAGCTCGCAAAGCAGTGCAGAGAAGCGATAAAGGAAGACTTCAAAGAGAGAAGAGCAGCAGTGCTGGCAGATGCAGCAGAAGCTGGGAAAAGCATTCGCAATGCCTGCCTGTCCTTCGCCAACTATAAGATCAAGATGACTGCCCACCGCCATCCTGATGGATCACATCTTCCAGAAGGGCAATGGAGAAGATTATCCATGACTTCTACTTGGATTTCTTCAATAGCTACATCCACCTGCCCACATACCAAATTCTACGGAATGGATCTGTCGTTCCCAACGTTCTCTCTTCCAAAATCCGACATGCCATTTTCTTGGTAAAGAAGAGAACAGCACCAGGCCCAGACAAGGTCAGACCTGAACACCTTGAAGAACCTGCCACTAGTACTCATCAATACACTGGCTCTGCTCTTCACACACTACCTGTCTGAATGCAAGATTCTGTCCTGATGGAAAACCAGCAGGACTGTACTACTATACAAGAAGGGAGACATCCATGGCATTAGCAACTACTGCCCAATCAGCCTGTTGTCTGTCATCTACAAGTTGTCCACTCAGGTCATCCTGAATAGGATTGGCAGAACACTAGATGAAGGACAACCATGCGAGCAAGCTGGTTTCCAAAAAGGAATCAGCACAATCGACCACATTCACACAATAACTAAGCTCATTGAGGTTTCTCAGGAGTTCAAGATGCCTCTCTAACGTTCATCGATTTAAAGAAGGCCTTTGATTCTGTTGAGATGGAAGCGGTCATCGAACCACTAGACAAACAGGGCATTCAAACTCAATACATCAGGATTCTCCATGAGTTGTATTACAGATTCACTACCAGGATCTTACCCTTCTACAAAGAAGTGATCATCCATGTTAAGAGAGGAGTTCGGCAGGGTGATACCATTGCACTGAAACTCTTCAGTATCACCCTCGAGAATGTCAGGTGAGGACTGGAATGGGAAGGAATGGGAGTGAAAATAGATGGTCAAGAACTATACCACCTCCGCTTCACTGATGGCATCATTCTAATAACATCAAACATAAGCCAAGCGGCACAAATGCTGGCCTTCGACCGTGAGTGTGGAAAGGTCAGATTACAGCTGAATCTCACCAAGACAATGTTTATGAGAAAGGGTCTTGTTCCTGACATTCCATTCTCTCTCAACAGAACGACCATCTCCGAATGCAACAGTTATGCGTATCTTGGTGGAGAAGTCAACATGATGAAGACCTGGCACCTGAGTTGCGTAAGAGGAAGAGAGCAGCTTGGACCGCCTTCAAGAGCATCAAAGAAATAGCTAAGAGGACGAAGAACCTCCAGCTCCGGGCACATCTCTTCGATTCCACTGTTTTTCCTGCATTAACATACGCCTCAGAGACCTGGGCCCTAAGAAAACAGGATGAGAACACTATTTGGGTCTCCCAAAGAGGAATCAAAAGAGCTATGCTTGGAGTATCATGCTTTACTCAAATGAGAGAAAGAATTCAGAATTCCAACCTCCATCGATGATCAAGAATCAGGGATGCTATCTCATTTGCCAAGCGTCGAAAATCAGATAGGCTGGACACGTAATGAGATTTGGAGATGATTGCTCAACTAGAGTCATTACTGACTGGATTCCACGGGACATCAAAAGATTGCGGGGCCGCCCACCTACGAGATGTTCAGACTTCTTCGTCAAGACCCTGAACAATCAGTTTGAGGCTCTTCATGTTCCTCGAACGAGGAACTGGGCTACACTAGCATGCGACAGGGATGAATGGAGTCGTTACTGGCACCCACTCAAGTAAATCGATGAGTAATAGGATGTCAATTGATCAAGTGATCCAGCATTGCTCATCAATCACTCCTGGCAGTGTCTCAGGGAACCATTTGAGCTGCTGGGGACTGGACCAAGGTTGTCTGTGTATAAGGCAAATGCCCTACTTGCTGTAATTTTTACTCTGGTTCTGAAAATCTTGAAATTACATTCATAAGCTGGATGTTTAATGACCATTCATTTGTGTGCCCTGTTCCCCCCGCTTACTTTTTCAGAAAATCTGAAGCTCAGACATTTAGCAAGCAAGTCTTTGGAGGTGCCCTCAAGGCTCTTCTGTCTTCAAAACTACCAACCTACCTACCTCTTCTCACTTAACTCAGGACCAGAGATTGTGAACCAAAATCTGTCTCTATGCCAATATGCAGTATAAAAGTTTTCTCAGACTGTCTTCTGCAAAACTATCTTCTATGTTATTACTCAATGTACTGAAAAACCAAAGAATGGCACAGTGTTCTTCTCTCCCAACATTTAAACTCACTCAGCCTTCAAAATATTCCCCTGACTCCAGTCCACTGAACTCTTTCCTAACACTCCCTTCAAACCTCAGCCACATTCTTCTCTCCAAATTTACCTAACCTCATGGCTGCACAGGGCAGCATCTGAGAGTTTCAAGTGGGGTAAGGGCCTCTGAGTATGTCAGTTATCATAAGGCTGATCCTTCTCACAACACAACATGAGCTCGTCAAAGACAGAAACTTCTTAGCTGACTTCCCTGGTAAAAAGGAAGAATGAAGTTTCTATAGTATACTGAAAGAATACAAGAGAAAGTGACCCCTAGCCTGTGGCCAGTTCAATTTTACCATTATTGCCATTCCTAAATAAAAATATGTTGCCAAGTTTACCTCGCCATCAATATTCTGCAATCCATACTGCTCACAGATAGAGACCAGCTTCTTTCGGTTCAAGTGACCATCCCGGGTGATGCCCAAATCTTCACAAACTTCCTGTAGCTTCTCTTCAATCCAGTCTTGGGAAGGGGAAGACCCACTCTGTGAGGCATTCAAGTCATCTGGGTTCCAAAATCTTAATTGGCCTAGGAGTAAAAATAGGGGGAAAAAGTATGTACTATGCTATTCCCAAAGGAATTGCAAAGAGGGAAACTATTCTTTAAAATATACTTTCTGAGGGGGCTGGAGTGATGGTATAGTGGGAAGGGTGTTTGCCTTGCACATGGCCAAGCTGGGTTTAATACCCAGCATCCCATATATCCCCTGAGCACCACCAGAAGTGACTCCTGAGCGCAGAGCCAGGAGCGACCCCTGATCATTTCCTCATTGCCAGCTGTAACACAAAAGCAAAACAAAAAAAACAAAAGGGAATTCACTTTTGAAAATAAATACATTAAGAAAAAGATTATAAATTTTGATGCCATTTTTGGTTTCAGCCTGAAATTCAAATGAAATGGAACAATTGATTCTGAGGCTGCAACTAGAACAAATAAGCATGTTTTCATTCATTGGCAGAAATACTGCTGTAGGAATGAACGATCCCCTATGTGGTCACGCCAAAAGCTCTTGGCTTATTTTATTCCAAGTGAAAACGTGCCCAGACATAGGTGTGATCGGAAGAGAAGGTTGGTTGAGAGCCATTCCAAAGACTTTAAACTTCCTATCTTGAATATAGTTACCAGATTTTATCCCTGCTCTCTTCCTAGTTTAAGAACTAGAGCTACTTTAATGAAGAAGAAAAGAATTTCATTATAAATATCATAATATAATTGTTAATGTATCAAGCTTTCCATATCTGTATACAATCTCTTTCCATATCTGTATACAATCTGGCCTGTATAAAAAAAATCTAAACAATCTAACTTGAAAGAAATTATTGCAACTCCCTAATTATCTATTAATTTCTACTTGAAAACTTGGGGATCTATTTGAAAATTCTGACTACTATGCAAAATATATAACTGCTTATTTGTTTTATGTTAAAAGTTGCTATCCTGGGGGCAGATCATTAATACAGTGGGTACAGCATGTGCCTTGTACATGGCCAGTCCTAGTTTGATCCCTGGCACCCCACATGGATGGTCCCCTGAACACCACCAGGAGTGATCACTGAACACAGAGTCAGGAGTTAACCTTGATCAGCACTGGGTTTGGCCCAAACTCTCCCCTAAAAGTTCCCACCTCTTGTTAAATTTTTCACTTACATGTCAGAGATGACTAACAGATTTTGTAAAGTCATTACTTAAATTTGAGATCATTACTGGTACCATTTGGTATGCCTGGAGGAACCTTTGAGGGTTGAGAAGAGAATTCAGTGCTAGTCCTTCTATGTTTCAGAAGAAACGAAGTCCAATACTGCTGTCATTTCAAGTTGGAGGTAAAGAGTACTGAATTAAGAATACAGCTAGCCAGGGTCAACTGAGGAACAGATGGCAGGTCTGTCTGCTGAACCACAGTGCCATCTGCTGGCCAAACATTAACATGTCTTCACACTTCATAAATACTAGGGAAGCTTGTCAAGGGATGCCTTTAAATAAGTCACCATTTAGTTTAGGACTATTTACAGACTAATGTCCACAAACAGAATTCTACATTTCAGTTGTCATCTCTTCAATTAATTAAATATTAAATTCAAGTATAAAAGGCCCTCCCGTTGATCGTCGATTTGCTCGAGCGGGCCCAGTAACGTCTCCACTGGAGACTTTGTTGTTACTGTGTCTGGCATATCGAATACTCTCGGTAGCTTGCCGGGCTCTCCGAGAGGGGCGGAGGAATCGAACTCGGGTCGGCCATGTTGGCCGTTTGTAAGGCGAACGCTATCGCACAGCGGGTAGGGTGTTCGCCTTACAAGCGGCCAACATGGCCGACCCGAGTTCGATTCCTCCGCCCCTCTCGGAGAGCCCGGCAAGCTACCGAGAGTATTCGATATGCCAGACACAGTAACAACAAAGTCTCCAGTGGAGACGTTACTGGGCCCGCTCGAGCAAAATTCAAGTATGTGAACTAAAAATTGGAAATTTTTTCTGGGGGGTGGGTACACACCTGGCCATGCTCTGGGCTTAACTCTGAGTTCATTCAGGGACCACTCCTGGTGATGCTGAGGACCATGTGGGGTACTGAGGATTAAACCAGATTGGCCATGTGTAAGGCAATACCCTACCCACTGCACTATTTCTCTGGCCCAAAGAATGTTTTTCGTTTGTGTTATTGTTAAGGTACTTTTTAAAAAAAAATTTTTTTTTATTAAAACACTGTGATTTACAAAGTTGTTCACAACACAGTTGTCTCAGTCATATAGTGTTTCAACATCACTGGTGTGACATTCCCTCCACCAATATCCCCAGCCTCCCTCCCAACCCCAACCACTCCCTTCGTCACATAACAAATTTTTTTTATGTTGCTTACTTCAACAAAACTTAAGGAAGTGGTAAGTAGAATGTTCAAAAAATAAATCAGGGAAAGTCCTTTCACCTATATAAATAAGGAAACTGAAACCATTTAATACAATATAGTAAAATGCCTATTTTCATTTACATAAGTTTTCAACTCTGGAATCTAAAATATACTGCATTAAATTTTATTTTATATTTGGATCTCATTATGGTAATAATCTTACCTGTCATTAGTAAGATTAATAGTCTTGCCTGTCATTAATAAACTTTAAACAAAACATTCCGTGCTGATATATTTTGGAGTTAACATGAAATGCATAAAGCCTGCATATGTAAAATATTATTCCTCTCCCTACACATTATATAAACACTGTGGTTTACAAGGTTATTTCCTAGTTGGCCTCCAGAATTCTAGGCTTTTAGGAAAATGCTAAGAAACACAGGAAGGGGTGTCCTAGGTAGGCTCCAATATACAGTGAGTTCTTACCTTCAGCTTCATACTCCTCACTGCGTTGAGTCTTCCAGTGCTACAGAAAGCAGAAGAGAAGATTTAGTATGCTTTAGAATTTATTGTCATTGTCAAGACCAGACCCTGGTACTGAAATTACCATTTGAGTCATAGGATTTAGCTCCCTCCACTGTTTTATCTTCCCCATTAACCAGCCAATAAAGAGGGGGTCTGCTAAGAAATCCCTTGCAAGATCCAGCAGGATTTCACCATGGATCTATCTTTCACAGTTGTGTGGTCGCTTATTAAACAATGACACCAGCCACAATCAATAAAAACCAAGCCAATGCAAATATCCAGGATCAAGCAACCAACAATATTTGTATGCACACATTTACTTGTTCTCTGGTGCAGTGTTCATGGGTCACTCCTGGCAGTGCTCAGGAGACCAGATGGTGCCAGGGAGCAAACCTGGACCTTCACCATGTGCACTGTCCCTTTGAGCTATCTCCTGGGTCCTATAAACTTGTTCTTTAATGTTTATTAGATGGTAAATATGCTCTCTTTGGAATACCACTATGAATAAGACACATAAAGTACTTCTCTCAAGAAGCTTATATGCTAATGAAGACATAAAAGGGAAAAAAATAACCAAAAGGACAAAAACGAACATTTAAGTACATGATAGTGGGCAATTATGTGTTATGATGGGGAGACTGAGGATGCTGTTAAAATACCTACATTAAATCCTTCAGACTTGGGTGATCAGGATAGACTGTTTGGAAGGAGCTATTGCCTAATTATGCCCCAAAGCATGAGCTGGAGAATGCCAAGTGAAAAGAAGGAAGTGGTTTTGATGAGCCAACGCACAAGAGTCAGAATGATCTCGGGTTTATGGTAGCAAAGTGAGGAGATGCAACCCAAGACAGGAAACCTATTCTTAGAAATATACTTTCTGTAAGTAAATAGTATGAAAAGAAGACTATAAATCTTGATCCCACTTCAGGTTTGAGCTTACAATTCAAATGAAATGCAACAACTGGTTGTGAGTTTGCAACTAGACAAAGAAGCATGTTTTTTTCCCCACTATTAGGAATACTGCTGGAGAGCTCAAGTTCAACAAAATGTGCATTACTAGCAAATGACAGAAAGAGCAGTGATATTAACGCAAATTGGACTTTTATGAATAAGTGTTATCCAAAGTCACAGCATACAATTGAGGTTTAGGTGTTACAGAAGTAATCAGTAAAAGGCATAAGTCAGGAGCTATCTTTTTTGTGCTTGACTGGTCAAGCACATATGAATTTCAAGCAATGGCAACAAGTAGGTCCTGGTTACCAGCACTTTGCTAAAACCTTTCCTTGGGAGGTATCAGCTTCAGGAAATCCTGTTGAGGAAAGGCAAATCCCCCTCTTCATCCCTGGCTGCTCCCCTAGCAAAGATCCATCTTGATAAATAAAGCTCCCTTTGACAACAAATAAGCAGGCCTGTCTCTGTGCACACTATAACTATACAAGCTGAACTGATTCCTTAGACTCCTGAAATAAATTCAGCAGGAAATAAGTCTACTTAATTCCTGGCTTCAGACAGGACTTTTTCTCGGCAGATGGTGCCCACCTAAAGTTCTGAAACATCATCTTTGAGTAGCCTATTCGACAGAAGAGATGTGAAGCTCTTATTTCAGTAAACTTAAGCACATCAACTTCATTCCTTTCCTTGCTCACTTATGCCAGATGTCTTCTCTTAACAGTAAGACTGTCATCCATCAGGACTCCGTGTGTTTATATACACATACCAACATGTTTACAATATTGCTAATGATAAAATTTCATGTGTATAATGTCCCCACACACCCTCCACCAGAATGTCCCCAACCCTCCATTGTCACAGGATCCCCTCCCAACCACTCTCTGTCCTGGGCCCCTGGTAAACCCAGCTCTGTTGACCAATTCTTGGGTCCTATTGTCTCTGATCATTTGTTATTTCCATGCTGTTATATCCCACATATGAGAGAGATCATTCTCTCCCTGCTCTCTGGCTGATGTCACTCAGCATGATACCCTCTACTTCCATCCAAGCAGGTGGTAAACTGGGATGATTCATTTTTTTCTTACAGTGAAGTATTTCACTGAATATGTATACCATGGTACCATATTTTATGTTCAAAGAAGACAGCACTAGTTCAGAGTTCACCAAACTTCCAATGCTGAGGTGGGGTTGGTTATTCTGCCATAAAGAAATCATCCAAAGGCCCAAACTCAAAATGTATAAATTCACAACAACTATTCAGATAATAAGTGACAGTGCTAGTATGTACGGTATCTATGGAAACTGCCTTCAGCCAGGGTGACTTTTGCTTGTCTGTAATAACCATTTCACCCTTCGCATCTCTACATAAAGCTGCAGTTCGTGCCTGGAAAATGTCTGGGACTTAGTACTGTGGGAGGGAGCAGTAAACTGCCCTTTGTGAATATTCTTACACAACTGCTACTGGGCAGAATTCAACTGTTTCTATATTAAACATTTTTTTAATCATTTGTTGTTCTTTTAGAAAGCCTCCCAGGCAGTGATCAGGAAGACATAGACACCCTCTGAGTGGTTCTGTCAGTCAGGCTGAAATTAATTCAGCAGGAAATAAGTCGACCCAAGGATGAAACATTGCAGAGCTGGGGTTAACTGGGTGACACCCAGAGTGCTCAAGGGTAAATGGTCCCCTGAGCTCCACCAGGAATGATTCCTGAGTGCAGAGTCAGGAGTGATCCCAAGCATTACAGGTGTGACCTAAAAACTAAAAAAGAAAAAAAAGAAAAAAAAGAAAGAAAGAAATTTAAGCAATAAAGTCCCCGTGGGGCTGGAATGATAGCACAGCAGTAGGGCGTTTGCCTTGCCCCAGCCGAGCCAGGTTCGGTTCCTCCGCCCCTCTCGGAGAGCCTGGCAAGCTACTGAGAGTATCTCGCCTGCATGGCAAAGCCTGGCAAGCTACCTGTGATGTATTCAATATGCCAAACACAGTAACAACAAGTCTCAAAATGAAGATGTTCCTGGGCCTGCTCGAACAAATCAATGAACAATGGGAGGACAGTGCTACAGTGCAGTGCTAAAGTCCCAGTAATAAAAGTGTACTGCTTGTTACTCCTTCCTCATTTATTTCATCTAATAAAGAAAATTACTTACATGCCTATAGTATGGTACCAAAGTTGGGAAAACTTTGACATGTAAGTTGGAAATACCCCAAAATTATATGACCTAAAATAAAACAGGTTTTTATGATCTAAGAAGCACTGGTCAAAATAAAACCTGCCAAACCATGAGCAGGGGAAAATATTTTTTCCAGGGGGCACGTTTTGACAGCACATACTGCAGAAAATATGGCAAGAGGTCTCATCTCACTGGATCCAGACACAAAAGAAGCCACTCCGACACACAGCTGGAAAAGTGGAGATGACATTTCCATAGTTCTTGGTTACAATCCCTACAGCAGCAAGGAATGCAATTCAGTTTTTGGAGCTGTAACGAATAAACTATTCTTTTATATGTAGACATGCACACACACATATACATATATATTGCATATTTATTAAACGGTTAGTTATGACGCTGAGATGGAGCTCAGCAGTAGAGCACTTGCTTTGCATGAGTGAAGCCCCGGGTTCAGTCCCAGCGCTTCAAAGCACTTAATTCACAGACACATATAGGCCATATAAGTTGTATTACTCTTCTAAATTATTCCTGATTAATAATTGTGCTATTGTTCTTACATATGGTCACTTCTCAATTCATTTCAATGTGCTGAGGAGTTAGTTCAGAGGACCAAGAGCCTCTAATAGTTTTAAAACCACTTCAATCTACAGATCTGTGTATAGATTAGATTCACATTTCCAAGTGGCACCATCTGCAGTCCTCTTTCTCACATCTTACCCCCAAGTAAGACCGAATATGGTGTGCATAGGTTGGGGAACCAGCCTATCTGGCTCGGAGTCCTGGACACCTACTGAATTGCGTGTGGACTAGTTTCTTAGCCTCTTTTGCCTCAGTGTTTCCATTAACAATGGAAATAAAAGACATACTTCATGGATCTGGGACAGATGTGTACATATGTTCACGGCACATAATTAGTACTACAAAAATTTTATGTTTTATTTTTGGTTTAGGGCCACACTTGGCAGTGCTCAGGGGCTACTCCCAGATCTGTGCTTTAGGGGTTGCTCTTGACAGTTCTTGGGGAGCATAGGTTGCTGGAGATCTAACCTGGGCCTCCAGGATAACTAGCCTTTTTTTTTTCGCTTTCTTATATTTATTTATTGAATCGCTGTGGGAAAAGTTACAAAGCTTTCAAGATTAAGACTTGGTCATACAATGATCAAATACCTTTACCTTCAACAGTACTTATTTTTCACCCCCAAGAACCCCAATATACCCCCTCCCACCCCTCCCAATGCCTGTGAGGCAGATGATTTCTACTTAACTCTCAGCGCTAGCCTTTTTTGCTCTCTTCCTGGTCCCCAAGTCTTACCATTTTTAATTGGACATATGTCTATGCAGTACATTTTGAACTTATATTTGCAATGTTTTTCCTAAGCACATTTGAACTAGAAGCACTGATTTGGGTATGCCCAGAGAGATATCAGTTATTTTTATTGATCTGAAGGAAAATGCCACGGCTCCAGCACATATGCAAAGTACACAGAAGCAATTTACATAAGCAGCAACACAAACACACAGGGAGAAGTGTTGTCTTGACAGCAATCAAAGAAGTCTAAATTAAGACCAAATAATCATTTTGTTCCCATTAAATTAGCCGAGTATTTAAGACTTGACTCTTATTATAATTAAGGTTAGGATTTTAAATAGGCCTGTCTATCTAATACTAGTAGCAATATAAACAAATATTAGTAAAGAAAATGGATTTATGTATCAGAAGCCATAAAACCTTTATATTCTTGCAACCAATAATTTCATGGGGTAATAAAATCAAAGAAAAAAAACCACATGCATCTACCTTACAGCACTTTTTTGTAAGAGTAAATTAACAATTTAAATATTCAACAAAGGGACATAAAGAATAATGACACACAGTAA